AAAAAGATACATAACAAAATTTACCATCTTAACCTTTGTAAGCATACAGTTCAGTGTACAGTTTAAGCATACAGTTCAATTGAGCACATTCACATGGTTTTGCAACCATCACCACCATCCACCTCCAGAACTCTTCATCTTGCAAAACTGAAACAACACACACGTTGAACAACCACTCCCTTCTCTCTCCCCAAGACCCTGGCAACCACCCTTCTGCTCTCTGTCTTTAGGAATTTGATTGCACGAGGCACCTGAAATAAGTGGAATCACTCAGTGTTCACCTGCCTGATTTCACTTAGCATAATGCCTGCAAAGTTCATTTGTATATCTTTTTTTTTTTTTTTTTTTTTTTTTTTACTATTAGTATTTTATTACTTTTCCAGTTAAAAAGACTACTTGTCCTGGCCAGTTTTGCTCAGTGGTTAGAACATCGGCCTGTGGACCAGAGACTCCCGGGTTCAGTTCCCACTAAGGCGACGTGCCTCGGTTACAGTTGGTCCCCAGCCCCAGTTGAGGTCGTGCAGGTAGCAACCGGTCGATGTGTCTCTCTCGATTCCCCCCTCTCTCCCTCCCGCTCTATCTGAGGATAAATGCAAAAATGTCCTCGAGTGAGGATTAAAAAAAAAAGACTAATCACTTGTTAAAAATCATAGTATATACTTGTAATACAAAGTTATAGGAAAAAGCAGGAATCAAAGCTTTGTGGAAAATGTTACAATTTTGGGAAAAAAATCATAGACATTGGAATGCAGCAGAAAAGATGAGAAGTTTCTAGTGATGACAGTGATTTCTAGGTGGATTATGGTGACATTTCATTTTCTATTTTTCTCATTATTCTAGAATGAACGTGGTATATTTATAATCAGGAAAAAGCAAATGCTCTCTTAAAAACAGGTATGTCACCTTCAGAAAAAATGCTTTCTCAGGACGCCCTCAGTCTACTAGTTCTTCTGTCCCCATAAATTAAATACACTAATGGTTGTCAATTCCTATATCACAACTGGAGTTAGGAAGATAACATTTAGCTTGGCCAACAAATGCATTCAATGGGTGGGTGTGAGACCAAAGAACAAGAGAGTAACGATAGAGTGTCTTCTACCTGAGTTACCTGTTTGGCTCCCAGCAGGTGTCCTCCTGGGTGATCCTATCCGAAACGGTCCACTTGACAGTTGTCTCACTGGGGAAAGTGGGGCTGTTCTGGTATTGGCTCCAGAGAGCTGATTGTGCCTATAGTTCAGTAACCTCAAGTGACAGCTTGAAATTGGCAATAGTGGAAGTATTTACACCACGGCAAATGGTGAACACTACAGAGCCAGAGAGTGTGTGGTTGGACCTTCACCAGCACACCTCTAGGCTGCTTGCGTCTGTGAGTGCGGGCGAGCCATCCTCCTCTCTTCAGCCCTTGGCTGCCCATTTCTTAGGGAACCAGATGGTCATTTTCCTGATCCCTCTGCAAGTGGCAATTTGCCTTCTGGGGGTGGATCTGCCTTCCAAGCCCTATGGTTCCTTGCCCCTCGCAGACACCAGACTTCACCTTCCTGGTCTCAAGTCCAGAAAGGAGTAAAAAAATAGTAGACTTTTTTTTTTAATTGATATTTTTTTTAGAGAGAGAGGAAGGAAGGGAGGGAGAAACTTCGATCGGCTGCCCCCTACATGCCCCCTACAGGGGATCAAGCCTGAAACCTGGGCATGTGCCCTGACCAGGAATCAAACTGGGACCTCTCAGTCCATGGGGTGATGCTCAATCCACTGAGCCACACTGACCTGGCCAATAGTAGACATTTGACAACTGCCCATGTTCCATTTTTCCATCTCATCCTGTAAACTTCTTGGAACTTCACCTGATTTCAGGAACTTTCTTGCTATAGCACCTCTACCCCTATTCTTCTGGGCAAAGGGCAAAGGGGCTGCGGGAGAAGGTGGTGTTTTGGAAGGTTTAGCAGCCTTTCGTCTGCAGAGCATCAGCCAGGTCCCACTCCTGTTCCTTGGGGTGCCAGCTTGTGGGTCCCAGGCCCATCCAAGGAGAGCACGTAGGATTTTGTCATTTACCCCTTAATATTTCTTTTATTCGAAATATGTTTTTATTGCTTTTTTTTGGAGAGGAGAAGGGAGAAAGAAACATCCATCCTCTGCCTCCTGCACGCCCCCTACTGGGGATTGAGCCTGAAATCTGGGTATGTGCCCTGACCGGGAATCGAACCAGGACCTCGCAGTCCTTGGGACAATGCTCAATCCACTGAGCCACACCGGCCGGGCCTCTTTAGTATTTCTTGAAGTGAGGGGTTGGACCTGAGGGCCTAGGCTGCTACCCCCAGCTGTCTGTCTGGCAGTCCTTTCTGAAGCCCCCTAAGGGACTAACTCTAAGAGAAGCAGGTTGTTGCTAAGAAACCTTTCAGCATAACCTCTAGGGAGGGGACGTGACAAGAGGAGTAGTGGGCAGAAGTAATAGGTTGCTTGATGTCTTCAAAGACCCAGGCTGCAGGAGCACTGGCTATGGAGTCAGGCAGGAGCCCCATTCTGTTCTTCCCTCCAAGATTGATCAAGACAGCACCGCCTCAGACCTGGGTTCAAATCTGGACTCTCCAATTTACTTGCTATGCAACATGGCCTCTCTGAGCCACCTGCAGATTGGGAATGGGAATGCCTGCCTCTCAGGGTTGTGCTGAGGATTCAGTGGTATGTGAAGCACTTAGCCCAGAATACGTTTTTCCAGTTCATGGGAGGTAAAAGTGAAACAAAACGAAAGCAGCCATGAGTAGCAGGCTGAGCAGAGAGGTGTTTGAGCCCCATGCCTAATATATGATTGTGGGACTTGGGATCCCTAATAGGCTCTGTCAGGGTGCATCTCAAACAGATCCCAAAATGATGCCTTAAACACCTATGAGTCCCTTTGTGCATGTCAATTCGGTTTACCTTCACAACGACCCCATGAGGTAAATATTAGCCATTAGGAGCCTTAGTGAAACTGGGGTTTGGAAGACCCTACTTTGCTGGACCCCATGGTGAACCCCCAGTTCACTGGTGACTTCTAGGCGGGGCACTTCCTACTGTCCAGAGTCAGGGGAAAAAAGACCAGATGTCAGAACAGGGTGTTTCCTGACAGCTCCTGTCTCAGGTGGAGCAGGTAGGTGTGACCTGGGCCGCTCTGTCCCAGGCCAAGCTCCCCAGGCTTCCTTCAAGCCCCACTCAGAGGAATGCCCGTGTCTGCCGTCCCGGTGACACCCAAAGCATCCAGGCCAGGGCGGCCTTTGTATAATTGACAAGATTGGACTTGGAGTCGGACAGATATGAGTTCCAGTCCCGGCTTTCCCGCCAACTGGCTTTGTGATCTGGAACTTAACCTTCTCTAGAACTGTAGGTTTCTCACTTATAAAATGAGGTTGAATGATTCCTTAGGTCCAAGGGTTGCAGGGAGGGCCCAGTGAGATTAAGTTGCTACAGTGGCTTTGGAACAGGCCCCAGCCGTGCAAATGTGAGCTGCTAGTATCAGCACTGTACATCGTGGAGGAGGCTGATCTTTCTGGAGGCAGAGAACTGGCCGTAAGAACCATAAGAACCGTGCACTGGACTCAGCAAATACATCAGGAGGGCCTGCTCTGTGGAATTCCCAGAGCAAGGCACTACCGGACTCACAGAAAATTCCAGACGCTTAGCTGAAAACTTGCCAATTATTGATTTTACTTATATCTTGTCAACTTCAGTGAGGAAGTGAGGTGCTTGCCAGAAAAGCTCGAGGAGCTGCAATATCAAAACCAATGAACTTTCATTTGTTTATTTAACAAACTATATATCGGGTGATAACAAGGGGCCAGGCCCTGGGAATACAGGAAGAGATCCGTCTAAGATAGACTTTTCTTACCACCACAGGGGAAAAGATGAAAACCAAAACTAAAGGGGTGGGGAAAGGAGGAAAACTGTCAGGAGCTGGCTGAAGAGTTCAAATCATTGAGCAAAAGAGGAAAAATAAAAAGACTGCGCAACTTCATGGCTCAGTTCATGGGGCGAAACGCTTTTATTGGTTTCAAGAGGATTTCATCATGGAAGAAGTATTTCAATAAGGCGCCTTTGAGCAATAGAATGAATGATTTACTTAATAGCAGTTTTTATCCCCCCCCCCCAACGTTTCATGATGAGGTGATGGGGACATTTTCCAAAATAGAAAAGTTGAAAGAACACAAACACTGTATCTCTACCTCCTACAGTATACTGCATTGATTGCAATTTTTTTTTTTTTTTAAGAGGAAGTTTCTGGTAGGTCTGTTTCAAGTATCAGCTCTTCCTTAGTATATCGCTACCCTGTGTCCCCAAAGACACAAGGACGGGATGCGGGCGGGTGTGGCAAAGAGAGGAATGCAGTTTTCTGGGAAACAGACTGGATGGGGGTGGAGGAATTAAAAAGGAAAAAAAAAAAAGCCCAAAAAGCTTTTGAGAAACAAGTTCCACTGGCTCCTGGGCCCTCGCTCTGACAGTGTGGTCCCTGCCAGTTCCTAGGACAGGAATCTCGTGGCTGCTTTTGGCTGGGAGGTCTAAGGGATCATCTTTCTCCTGCTCGAGCCTTGCCCAAAGGGTAGCAGAGGCAGCGATGGCGGCCCTGGCGCCCGCCCGGAGCACAGGAAAACAAATGGGAATCCCTAGAGCAGCTCAGCTGGGATGCCAGGGGACCCCGAATTCTGCGGCGTGGCTGCCAGCCCCCCCTGCGCGCGACGCTCCTCTGGGTGCTGCAGGCGGAGCGCCCCGGAGCGAGCCGCTGGCGGCCCGAAACAGGGGTGTCAGGGGTGTCGTCCTGCGGCAGCTGCAAAGCTCTGCCGGGCCCAGCTGTCCCCGCGACTCCGGGCTGCAGCCCAGGGCGGAGTGGGCTCGGGGAGGGCCCCGCCTCCGCGCTCCTCCCCCGGCGGGCCGGAGTCAGCTCGGCGAGCCCTTTGCATAAAGCCCTCCTCCCCGGCCAAGGTTGAGGAAGTTGGGCTCCCGCCTGGATGGGAGGCGGGCGGGAGCACCGCTCCTGTTGTTTTCCCGAGCCGGAGTGGGTGGCGGGCACCCGGGGCGGGGTGCGCCCTCCCGCCCGGGGCCGAGCGCTCCCGAGAGCGAATCGCACGGGAGCCCGGCGCCGCTCGCAGCCCCCAACGTCGGACTCACCCCAAGCATCCTTCCCGGGGGCTGCGGAAAGCGGAGCGATCCTGCCGTTCCGAAGACCCGGGGAGAGCATCTGGTACCCTGGGGGCCTGAGCCCTGGGGGGCGCACACCCAGCCCCGCCGGACCCCGCGTTTCCAGAGGGACCCTGCCCGCCTCGCGAGCGAGATGGCCGCGCGGGCACCCGAGCCCCAGGTCCTGCTCTGCCTCGGGGCGCTGTTGGCCCGCTGGGTCGCCGCAGGTAAGGGCCGCGAGCTGGAGGGAAAAGTTGAGTTTTGCAACAGTGCGGAAGAGGGAGAGCCAGGGACCGAATTTCCTCGGACTCCCCGGACCCTGGTGAGGCTGCAGCCCGAAGCCGCCCGGGGTGGGTCTTGAGTTTCCTGCGCGCAGCTCAGTGCTCTTTGCAGAAAGGAATTTTCCCGGGTGCTCGATGGAGGGCGAGATATGTCCACTCCCTTGGAGGGCAGCGGGCGAGGCTGCCAGGGCCTGCCAGCGGTGATGGGGAAACTGGGGAAGCGGAACATGGGAATTTTTGAAGCTGGGAAAATTAAGAGGCACGTGTAGGGGGGAACTTGTTGTTTTGAAGCGTCCGATGTAAATTCGCGTTCTGGTTTTACCTGCTGAGCAGGTGCACAGAGTCAGGCTTTATTCCCCCTCCTCGCCTCCCTTTCTCTGCCCAGGGTTGAACTCGCCTTACACCTGTAACCTCTGGCTTTCCCTGAACACCCCTGCAAAGATGGACTAACGCATTTCAAGTCTTGCCTTCTTACTTCACTTAATTTTTTTTTTCTTCTTGAAATAATTTCTGGCTTACGACACTTCTCCACTTGACATGATCTCACACTTGACATGATTGGCAAAAGGTCTTAAATGCTTCACCTATGCTCTCCTTGTCATAATAACGAGCAGAGGGTTGCTTACAAAAATACACAGAATAGAAAAAGGTTGAAAAATATTTTTAAATTTCGTTTAGCAGCACATGTTTACTGTGTGCGGGGCAGTGTGACGGGCAGCGAGAGGCCTTGGGTGGATGGGAAGCAGAAGGAGCCAGGTGGTGGTTAGTTTGCCAGAATTCTTGTGGAGTGCTGCTTCCTCTGTTGCCAGTTCAGCATACCCAGCTGATCTCTTGTAGTTCCTGCAGGAATTGCTCCCTGAGCTTCCTAGAAACAAGTGCCAAAAGTTCCTAACTTTGGGTCACACAAATTTTTGTTTTGTTTTCAGCACTTATTTAAAAACAGTAAAATTCACCCTGGGCATTGTGGCTCAGTTGGTTGAGCATTGTCCTGTGCATTGGAAGATCACCTGATTGATTCCCAGTCAGGGCACATTGCCAGGTTTCGGGCTCAATCACCTGTCAGGGTGCGTGTGTAGGAGGCAACCGATCCATGGTTCTCACATCAGTGTTCCTCTCTCCCTCCCTCTCCCTTCCTCACTCTCTAAAAAAAAATAAATAAATAATAAATAAATAAGATATTTTAAAAAATAAAAACAGCCATGGCCGGTTTGGCTCAGAGGTTAGAGTGTTGGCCTGTGGTCCAGAGAGACCTGGGTTCGGTTCCCGCTAAGGGCGCATACTTCCGTTTACAGTTTGGCCCTGGCCCTGGTTGGTCATGCGAGTGGCAGCCACTTGATGTGTCCCTTTCACGTCGATGTTTCTCTCTCTCTCTTCCTCTCTCCCTCCCACTGTATCTCAACAAAAAATGGAAAAATGTCCTCGGGTGAGGATTAAAAATAAATAAATAAATAAAATAAAAACAGTAAAATCTCCCATAATCTAGGTTTCCAGTTTATCTGGAAAAAAATCTGAAGATCTGGCAGCACAAGGTCTGATTTCCTACCTGGAACGGAGCAGTGGTCACCCCTTTTATCTGGGGCAGGAGACCCCAAATTTGTTTTACCTCTTGCTGTTGCAGTACTTACTCCTGACCCTCTTTTGACTTAGCGGTCACTGTGCTGTGGAGAGAAGAGGGTGGACAGTCCGCAATTGGTTGTCTCTCAAAGTTCCCTTCTCCCCAGCTATTTGCAGTGTTTACTGCACTGTCAATACTGGGGACCTGGGGGCATCAGACCGTGGCTGGAAATCATCCTACTGGAATGAATGGGCTTTCGGGTTGGCTGCGGCCCACCCCACAGGAACACTTCCTCCACTGCCGTGCCCAGTTATTTTGATGCCCAGGTCAAGTTCACCTTTGTGTGCCGTGCCGAGGGCTTCCCTGAGCTGGTTATATTTTTGTTGTTTGTATTTCAAATTGGGGGTTTTCTTGGGGGAAAAAATATTTGTCTTTTTCCTGTCCCTTAACTCCAGACAATGTTCATGCTTCCACTGTTGTCTCCAATTGTAAGTCCTGGGTCATTCTTGGAGCAAAGTTGCTAGGAGAAAAAAAAGTGTTTGAGTATAATCCCAACTCTGTAAATGATAATATGAGGGCAGTGTTGGAAAATAACCATTTTTATTGCTTTCTCTTTTGTTCCATTGGGAGACATCAAGGGCCCCTCCAGACACCAGGTAGATGACTTCTAGCAACACAAACTGTTACTATGTCTTATTGTCTCCCTCTGTGGCTGGGAAACTGAGTAAGTCCCCATGGCCTGAATGGCCATCCCAGCTCTCCCAGTGACTCACAGGGGACTTTAAGCTCTCTGAACCTCAGTTGTCTCAATGTAAAATGAGGGGTCATAGGACAACCAGGCTTGGAGCTAGTGGACCCTCCTTTCTGCGTCTGTTTTCGGGTTTGACCCCTGGCCACAGACATCACTAATTGATGACTATATTATCAATTATCCTGGACTCAGCCTGCCTCATCTTCAGCCCAGCCCACAGGCTGTCACATCGGAAAGATCTCCAAGGTCAACTTCGGCTTCATTAGTTTAACTTTTTTTTTAATCCTCACCCAAGGATATTTTTTTTATTGATTTTTAGATAGAGTGGGAGGGAGGAAGAATGAGTGAGAGAGAGAGAGAGAGAGAGAGAGAAACATTGATTTAAGAGAGACACACCGATTGGTTGCCTCCCACATGACCTCCACTGGGGCCAGGGGTCAAACCTGAAACCAAGGTACTGCCCTTGATTGGGAATTAAACCCTTGACTCTTAGGTCCGAGGGTTGACGCTCCAACCGATGAGCCACACTGGCCAGGCAGCTTCATTAGTTTAAAAGAATGGAGTGAGCAAAGCCAGAAGGAGAAGTGAAGAGCCTTAAAATGGTTTCTTCTGTGATTATGTCATCGTGTTCCTTGGAGGAGAAGACAACGTTAGCTTAAGTTCCAAGACGACAGTTTCACCAGGGCTTTTCCAAGTCCCTTTAGTCCTTTGCCAAGGAGCCAGGGAATAAGCTCTCGTGTTAGATGATATTCTCTTCCTTCCAGCAAGTGGCTTAGATTTTTTTTTTTCATCCTGTGTTGGCTTTTGGGCATGGTGTGGCCAGGACGGGGAGAGAATTGGAACATCCTGTGGTTCCAGGCTGGCGTCAGATCATTCAAATGGAGCCGCTCCTAACCAGACAAAAGGCCCCAAACAGATAACTGTTACTCTTTATTTTATAAATGGGAAGGATTCCCGGACACAGGTGGCAAGGCTTTCTTTCTTTCTTTCTTTCTTTCTTTCTTTCTTTCTTTCTTTCTTTCTTTCTTTCTTTCTTTCTTTCTTCCTTCCTTCCTTCCTTCCTTCCTTCCTTCCTTCCTTCCTTCCTCTCTTTCTCTCTTTCTCTCTTTCTCTCTTTCTCTCTTTCTCTCTCTCTCTCTCTCTCTTTCTTTCTTTCTTTCTTTTTTATAACAACTCTATTGAGATAAAATTCACCCTTTTAAGGTATACAATTTATAGTTTTTAGTATAGTCACAAGATTGTGCAACCATTAGCACTAATTAATTCAAGAACATTTTCATTACCCCCAAAAGAAGCCCTACACCCATCAGCAGTCACTCCCCACCCTCCCACTACTCCACTTCCTCCAGACCCAGACAGCTGCTAATCATTTTCTGTCTCCATAGATGTGCCTGTATTGGACACTTTAGATAGATAGACTCACACAGGTGTGGGGTCTTCTGTGACCTCCTCCTTTCACTTAGAGTAATGCTTTCAAGATTTATCCATGTTGTAGCAGGTGCTTCGTTCATTTTTAGGGCCAAATAATATTCCCATTGTATGGGTATACCACATGTTATGTATCCATTCATCAGTCGATGAGCATTGGGGTTGTTTCTACCTTTTGGCTACTGTGAACAATGCTGTTGTGAGCACGCACGTACAAGTCCTTGTGTGGACATATGTTTTCGTTTCCCTTGGGTATATACCTAGAAATGGAACCACGAAGTCACACGGTAACCTTAACCTTGTGTAAAAATGCCAAACTGTTTTCCAAAGTAGCTGCACTATTTTTTTTTTTTAAATCCTCATCTGAGAATATTTTTTCATTTATCGTCAGATAGAGTGGGAGGGAGGGAGGGAGAAAGGGAGAGAGAAAGAGAGAAAGAGAAAGAAACATCAGCATGAGAGAGACACATCGATTGGTTGCTTCCTTCATGCCCCCTACCAGGGCTGAGGACCGAACCGTAACTGAGGATATACCCTTGACCTGAATTGAACCCGCAACTCTTTGGTCCATGGGCTGACGCTCTAACCACGGAGCCAAACTGGCCAGGGCCAAAGTAGCTGCACTATTTAAAAATCTTACCAATAGTATATGAGAGTGCCAGTTTCTCCACATCTTTGTCAACACTTGTTATTGTCTGATTTTAGCCATTTTAGTGGATGTGAAGTGGTAGGTATCTTATTGTGGTTTTGTTTGTGATTCATGTCAAGTACTGGCCAATAGTCCCGACAGGGCGGGGTCTCTGTGGGTTACTGCAAGTTAAAAAACACACAGCTGTTTTTTGTTTTGTTTTGTAATGTCTATTATGGAGGACTGTGCAAAAAAGGATGTTATTCAGAGATCAAAAAAGGTAGTAATAGCCTGACCTTTCCTTGTACAGGATTGGAAGCTGTTGTCATCGGAGAAGTTCACGAGAACATTACTCTGCACTGTGGCAACATCTCGGGAACGAGGGGCCCAGTGACCTGGTACCGGAATGACTTGGAGCCCACCTTCCTCCTGTCCTCCAATTCCAGTCTGCTGCCAGCCAAGCCACGCTTCTCTCTGGTGAATGCCAGCTCCCTGCACATCGAGGCACTGAGCCTGCAGGACGAGGGGAACTACACCTGCCGGGAGGTCCTGAACGAGACTCGCTGGTTCCGAGTGTGGCTGCAGGTGGCCAGTAAGTGGGGCAGGAGGGCACTGGCACTGGCTGATGAGGTGCTCAGAGTATTAGGAGGAGCACTCTGGAGTCAGTGGTCTGGGTTTCATTCTGGGCTCTGCCACCTGCATACTGAGTGACCTCTCGTACCCGTACTCCCTCATCTGGAAAATGGGGATAAAAAGAATTCTTGCCTTGTAGAATTGCTGTGATGAGTAGACACCAGTTGACCTATTTAAAGTGCGACCACAGTGGCTCTTGGCATAATAGTTAGCTATATTACTTTTAGCTTGTCGTTAATATCATTTTGCTGTTACTATCATTTTATTATGCAGCAAAGTCAGAGTATGACATAATTGAGTCATGCTGACTGAATTCCAGTCTTACGGCTGTCATTTAGTTCTGTATCATTCTGAGTAAGTAGCTTAATATCCCCGAGCTTTGGTTTTTCTCATGTATTAATTGGGGATAATACATTGCATACCTTAACCAGGTATGTGCTCTTAGGTTATAGTGCTTAGTACAGGGCTTGGCATGAGCTACTATTACTACTGTGCTTTCCAAAAACAGTCTAGCGCTGGCCGGTTTGGCTCAGCGGTTGGAGCTTCGGCCCTCGGACCAATGAGTCTCGGGTTCTATTCCAGTCAAGGGTACACACCTCGGTTGCAGTTTGTCCCCGGCTCTGGTCGGGTTGTGTGGGAGGCAACCAGTTGATGTGGCTCTAGCACATCAATATTTTTCTCTCTCTCTCTCGCTCTCTCTTTCCTTCCCACTCTATCTGATGATAAAGAGAAAAATTCTCGGCTGAGGAATAAAAAAACAAAAACAGTCTAGTGTCCATATACATGCATGAATTTAGAGCATGTTGTTGGTAAAGTACAGCCTGTGGGCCATATCCAGTAAGCTGCCTATTTCTGTGTGGCCTACAAACTACCCATATACGGTTGGAAAAAGTCAAGAGTGGAATGATATTTGTGACATGTGACGATTACATGAAATTAGATTTCAGCGCCCATAAATAAGGCTTTATTGGAACACAGCCACACTTGCCCATTTTCATGTCATCTCTGATGGCCTTTGGCGCTGCAGCGGCAACGCTGAGCGGCTGCGTAGCCTGCAAAGCCTCAAATGTTCATTCTGTTCCTTGACAGAAGAAGTCTGCTGGTCACTTGTTTAGAGAGCCATCCACGCTCTATATCCAGGCCATTTAGTTTAGTAGACATACCCGGGTGATCACTTTGCTGCTCCCTAGTTTCCTCATCTATAACATAAAGAATTTACTCATTCCTTTATTCAACATCTGTTTGTTGAGAGCCCAATGCCAGGCATTGTTGTAGGCACTGGGCCACAGGACAAGCGAGGTCCCCACCTTCCTGGAGCTGATGCCCTAGTGAGGGGCAGACAGACAATAAGCAAACAAAGAATGCATTAGGCAATATCGGAGGGACTAGTGCCATGCAGAGAATTGAGATGGGGTGATGCGAGTCTCTGAAACACTTTAAAGTGGGGGAGGGGCCCTGCCGGTTTGCTCAGTGGTTAGAGCTTTGGCTTGAAGGCCAATGAGTCACAGCTTCACTTCCGGTCAAGGGCACACACCTTGGTTGTGGTTTATCCCCGGCCCTGGTTGGGGTCGTGCGGAAGGCAACCACTTGCTGTATCCCACTGTTGATGGTTTTTTTTCTCTCTCTCTCCCCCTGCCTCCCACTGTATCTGAAGATAAATAAAAAAATATCCTTGGGTGAGGATTAAAAAAAAGATAAAGTGGGGGAGGGGTAGCACCAGTCAGAGAGGATCAGAGATTGTTCTTTTTAAAATATTTTTTCTTTATTGATTTTGAGAGAGAGAGAGAGATAGAAGCATTGATGAGAGAGAACATCAATTGGCTGCCTCCTGCATGCCCCCCACTGGGGATCGGGCCCACAACCTGGGCATGTGCCCTGACCGGGAATCGAACCGGTGATCTCTTAGTGCATGGGTCGATGCTCAGCCACTGAGCCACACCAGCCGGGCCAGAGAGGAGTTTTGGAGGGAGTAACATTTAAGCTGAATGCCAAGTAGGAGCCAGTCATACAAAGCTAAAAAAGAACGCAATCCAGGCAGAAATCCAACGAGTGCAAGATGGGTTGAGCATGGTGCATGCCCAGATGGGGAGAAGACTGGTATGATGGGAACCCCGTGTGCGAGAGGACAGGATGTGTGAGATAAGGGGATGTAGGTTGAATTATGTCCCCCACGAAGATATGTTGACGTCCTACCCCCTGGCCCCTGTGAATGTTACCTTATTTCAAAATAGGGTCTTTGCAGATGAAATCCAAGTTAAAATGAGCAGGGTGGGTCCTGATTAAAATTGACTAGCATCCTTCTAAGAAGAGGGAAGTGTGAAGATAGACACACGCGGAGAATGTCATATACCGACAGGCAGAGGTCGGAGCGATGCAGCTCCACGCAGAGGAACGCCAAGGATCAGTGGCCGATACCAGAAGCTAGGGAAGAGGCAAGAGGAGAGTCTCTTTGGAGGGAGCCTGTGTCCCTCCCGACACCTTGATTTTGGACTTGTGGCCTCCAGAACTGTGAGAGAATCAGTGGCTGTTGTTTTAAGCCACTTAGTTCGTGGTACTTTGTAAGGAATTGGGATTGTATTCTGGGTGCGAGAGAAACTTCTGGAGCTTTAAGTAAGCAGGGGTGTGTATCATTTGAATTACATGGGAAGCCTGTAGGTACGAGGTCTGGAGAAGGACTGGAAAAATAAAAACAAGGAAGCCGATGAGAGGTACAAGATGTTGGTGGCCAGACACAGGGTGGTGGCCGTGGCCTTGGTGAAAATGCACAGGTTTGGAAAACATTGCTGGGTGTAGACCAGCAAGACTCGCTGGTGGATCAGAAGTGGAGAGTGAAGGAAAGGGGAGGCTTCAGGGAGACGTTTAGGTTTTTGGATGGTCTCTAAGGTTTATGAGCAGTGTTTACAGGGTCTGGAGGTGCCAGAGATGAATTGCTGAGTGGCCAGGAATGAATGTGGGTATATCAAAAATATGTCACCCGTCTGTTTGGTTCCCACTGTGAGCCCGTGGGCAGGTGCTGGCAGGCCTCCCTCGCTGCAGCTGCCAAACAGTAATTAATAATCCGTTCAGTCTCGTCAATCAGTGTCTTCTCCTTGACTACCGGGGAGTAAGGTGGCATTACAACTCTCTGTGTTTTGTGTGTGTGTGTTCTCTGAAATCAGCACCATCTCCAGTTTATGATGACTTTATCTGACACTGATTGTATTAATCATTGGCTGAGTTTACTGGGGATTGGATTAGTTTCATTCTTTCCCTGGAAGGAGATCTATGCAAGGCCTTATGATGAAAGTGAACTTACATTTAAAAAAAAAAAATTTTACTAAATTCAAATGGCGCTTTGGGCTTCCCTGAGTGACTGTGGTAGGATTTGTATTATGGAAACCTCTTCATTCGGAAACATAGGAGGTTCTTGATCGGTGTAGGGCTTGTTTGGGAAAATAGGATACTGACTGTCTTAGTCCGTTGGGGCTGCTATAACAAAAATAGCATAGCCCTGGCCGTTTTGGCTCAATGGTAGAGCATCGGCCCTTGGACCAATGAGTCATGGGTTCGATTCTGGCCAAGGGCACATACCTTAGTTGCGGTTCATCCCCGGCCCTGGTCGGGGTCATGTAGGAGGCCACCAGTCAACATGTCCCTCTCACATTGATGTTTCTCTGGCTCCCTTTTTCTCCTTCTCTCTCCCTCCTACTCTATCTGAAAATAAATAGAAAAAAAAAAAAAATCCTCGGGTGAGGATCAAAAAAAATAAAAGTAGCATAGACTGGGCCAGGGGGCCCTTATGCAACAAACATTTATTTCTCACGGTTCTGAAGATGGATGAGCCTTGCCCAGAGACTGATTCATTTGAGTCTTGCCACACTCATCCAAAGCAGAGATGGGCGCTTATCCTAGGCTGAAGATCTCTGGGCTCCCACTCTTTGGAAGGACCGGAAGTCACTAGGGAGATTCGGAGGCAGGGGGGTTCTTGTATTTGCGTCTATGTTCAGTCTTGGAAAGTGATGCCAAAACAGTCTCTGTAAGTTTTCCCAGGATCTTATCCTGCTGTAGAACTATAAATATGCCCACTGGATAGCAGAGACTACCCGTATTATTCTTAGGTCATTTTCAAACAAAAATGCTGGTAAGAAGAATAAATGCCTAAAGATAACTTTTCCCATGGGTGGGAACCCATGACACTGACATGGGAATCTCCCTTTTTTGTGGGTCCCCAAGATGCGAATTAACCCTTTGAGACCCTTGACTGGCCAACCCGTAGTAATGGGGGAAGGAAAGAAGTGAGTTCCTGTGTCAAGACTGATAGAGACGACGAAGGCAGCAGTAGTGGTATATTCCTCTAGAACAAGGGTCAGACGATAAATAATGTAGACTTTATGGGCCAATGGGTAAGAGGATACTAAATACAGGGGTGGGCAAAAGTAGGTTTACAGGTGTTCGTATGGAAAATATATAAGAATAATAAAACCAGAATAACTGTTTTGCATGCTCACAACTGTAAACCTACTTTTGCCAACCCTGTAAGTACTTATGTAAAAAGAAAGAAAACTGCCCGGCCAGAGTGGCTCGGTGGGCATCGTCCTGGGTACAGAAAGGTGGTCCCTTCAGTTCCTGGTCATGGCACACACCTGGGTTGCAGGTTCGATCCCTGGTTGGGGCGCGCACAGAAGGCAACCAATTGATGTTTCTGTCTCTCCCTTCCACTCTCTAAGTATGTCCTTGGGTGAGGATTAAAAAGGAAAACAAAGAAAACCAATTTCCACATCAGATTTATCGACAAAATATTAACTATAATAATGATTGAGTACTTTTTGTTTTTGTAGTGCAGGCCTCCTAATGAGAAGAATAATTCTTTCTGGGAGAGATAACATTTCACTTAATTGGGGTTCAAAGTTAGCATTCTCTCTCATCCAATTCACTGCGAATGTTCCTCTGTAAAAGCCATTCTTAGCTTGTGGGCCATACCAAAACAGATTGTGGGCCATCATCTGCCAAGGCTTGTTCTAGAATCCATCTGCAAGTATACTGCTGATGATAAGAACAGGTGACACTTACAGACTATTGACCACACGTCAAACACCAGGCTAAGTGTTCTATTATCTCATTGGATCCATCAAAAACTCAGTGATAGAAGTTACTACTATTCTTTTCATTCCATAGAGAAGGACAAGAAAGGGAGAATGAGCCCTGGCCGGTTTGGCTCAGCGGTTAGAGCATCGGCCCTTGGACCAGAGAGACCTGGGTTCTGTTCCCCCTAAGGCAGCGGTTCTCAAGCTGTGGGTCGCGACCCCTTTGGGCGTCAAACAATCCTTTCACAGAGCTCATCTAAGACCATCGGAAAACAAATATTTCCGATGGTGATTCATAACAGTAGCAAAATTACAGTTATGAAGTAGCAATGAAAATAATTTTATGGTTGAGGGTCACCGCAACATGAGGAACTGTATTAAAGGGTCGCGGCATCAGGAAGGTTGAGAACCGCTGCGCTAAGGGTATGTACCTTGGTTGTAGTTTGTCCCCGGCCCCGGTTGCGGTCATGTGGGTGGCGGCCAGTCGATGTGTCTCTCTCACATCGATGTTTCTCTCTCTCTCTCTTCCTCTCTCCCTCCCGCTCTATCTGAAGATAAATGCAAAATCCTCGGGTGAGGATAAAAAAAACAGGGGAGAATGAAAGGAGTGGGCACTTGCCCGAGGAGGTCCGTTTATAAGCTGCTGTAGGATTTACACCCAGGTCTGTCTGAATTCAGAGTATAAGCTCATAACTACTAGGCTAAGGCCTGCATCCCACAAAGAGTCAAGAACTGAAACTGACAATGACCAAGGCCTTGATAAGATGCCCAACCAACTGAGTCACACCAGCCAGGGACTTTCATTTGATTTTTTGTTTTAACTTTTCCACAGGCTTCCTTCCCATCTATTCTCTGTATCTGACATTTCTTGCTGAGAATTGTGCTAGTCAAAAGCCCCTCCCGGGCAGTTCCTGGGGATCCACACTGCCCATGCCAGGCTGCTATAACCCTCCAGACCACAGTTTGGAAGCACCAGCCTGTCCGATCTAATACCCTGTCTTTACTAGCCCAGGCTCGGCTACCAGCACCGCGGAGGCACTTTGTGCTTTATTGGGTGTCTGCCAGCTGTGGGCACGCCCTCGGACCTGCTGGTCCACATACCTAACCAACTAGCCAGCAACCGTGAATGGGACAGTTGAGCACCTCCCAAACTACAGTATAATTTTTTTCTCCAGACCCTGTGCAGGAGGTGACATGAATCTAACAGATCGCTGAAACTCCTAGGAGCCAGCCCCAACCTGACAAGCATATGGTCAAGAGTATTGTCCTCAGAAACCCACCGTTTCTAGAGTTACACCATGGCTTCAGACATGAGTGAAGTAGATGCTGTACTTTGAGGGGCTCCGGAAAAGCCTTTTCCTCCCCCCAGTAACTGTTCCCACTGGCTTATTTCTGCTCAGAATTTTCTGCAGTCATACATTGATTCCTTTGGCCAAGCATTGCCCTTCCTGGATTCTTCTTCAGAGGAAGCCTGTGGGAGGGGTAACACACAAAATGACATTAGTTTAATTAGGGTGTTAGATAAATTCTTTTCATCAAAGGGGACGTGGCATCTTATGTGTGCGGGGTACCAGAGTGGGAGGACATTTCTGGGGACAAGAAAGAAGTTCGGAGAAATGAGGGAGACAAAGGGAAAACCTAGCATTTTAAAAAAATTCTCACCCAAGGATATTTTTCCATTTATCATCAGATAGAGTAAAAGGGATGGAGGGAGAGGGAGAGAGAAACATTGATGTGCGAGAGACACATTGACTGGTTGCCTCCTGCACAACCCCGACCAGGCCTGGGGACCAAACATGCCCTTGACCAGAATTAAACCTGCGACTCATTGGTCTGTGGGCCGACGCTCTAACTGCTGAGCCAAACCAGCCAGGGCCAGACCTAGCATCTATCAAGTGCTTTCAACAGCCAGGCATTGTTCTGAGCGCTGTACCATACTAACTCATTTAATCATCACCACAACCCCTCGGAGTGGGTTCTAGTCTCACCCCCATTTCACAGACGAGGAAGCGGAGGCTAAGAGAGGTTAAGTAATTTGCCCTTGTCTTTCGGCGTGAAATGGTGCTGGGGGATTCTGTGAGAGTCCTCTCGGGGAGAACTCGGGACTCAGCTTATAATACGATCACAGCAAAAGAACACAAAGCAGAATCAGCAACAGGAAAAGGCACATGCGGTTAGGTCCATGGAAGACCAGGAGCAAGCTTCCGGGGGTCCTTTCCCAGTGGGGTCACATGGACATGCCTAATTCCTTTAGCAACAAGTGGTGGTGACACGTGTGAAAAGTCTACCAGGAGTCATTAGAGACTCAGCACCCTGAGGTTTTTTTTGTTTTGTTTTTTTGTTAATCCTCACTTGAGGATATTTTTCCATTGATTCTTAGAGAGGGTGGACGGGAGGGAGGGAGAGAGAGAAAGAGAGAGAGAGAGAGAGAGAGAGAGAGAGAGAGACATCAATGTGAGACAGACACATTGATTGGTTGCCTACTGCATGCACCCCAACAGGAGATCGAACACACAACCCAGGTATGTGCCCTGGACCGGGAGTCAAAAACGTGACCCTTTGGTGTGCGGGCTGATGCTCTGTCCACTGAGCCACACCAGCCAGGGCTCACCCTGAGTTTTTATTGGGGGCTGGTCACGCGGGCCTCTGCCTAGCACGTACCAGAATTCTTCGCTCTCAGAAGGAAAGCAGGGGTTCAGCGTGAACCACGCTGTCTGTACCAACAGTGTAGGCACAGGGAGCCCACTCTTACCGGTTCTGGGAATGGCGGAAACCCTCCCGAAATCCAGGTTCCCGGTCACCCATCGAGGCCAACTTCGTGAGCGGGTCTCTTGGGGCGGCAGCCCCAGGCCTCCCGTGTTAACTCTCTCGTGCACAGTGTTTTCCGCGCACCAGTGTTTTTGAAGAGGAGCAATTTGCATTTTCTTTTTTCTGTAAGGATTGATCCCCCTGGTAAATCAGACACAATCGCTCAGGATTTAATGAGAGAATGCCAAAGGCCACTTGGCGTAGCCTTTGTCATAGAGGAAGTATTTGAAGGCTGTTGCCGTCCTTATTAGCTGCTTCCTGATCATTTGTGAGCTTGTTAGAGCGGACAAGGGGCTCCCATGGACGCTTCAGTCCTCCCCACCCCCTCTGTCGTTCCCAGGCGGCCCCTACCAGGTCGAAGTCAACATCTCCACCGCCGGCAAGCTCCCCAATGGCACCCTCTATACAACCAAGGGCTCCCAGGTGGACTTCAGCTGCACCAGCAGCTCCAGGCCTCCGCCCATGGTGGAGTGGTGGTTCCAGGCCCCGGAATCCAGAATCGAGTTCTTTGGAAGCAACCTGACGGTCAGCTGCTTCACGCTGCTCCAGATGTCGAGAAACCTCCAAGGGAACTACACCTGTTTGGCCCGAAACACACTCAGCAGGAGACATCGAAAGGTGACCACCGAGCTCCTGGTCTACTGTGCGTAAGAAGCACTCTCCTCCCCCACTTCCTTGCCTTGACCCTTCGTGAACTACTTGTTTGTGCCTCTTTCTTTTGTCTGCAAAGGCTTGCCCACTGCATGGGCCCTGACACGCTCTGCAGCAACCTCAGCTGTCATGTACACACTCGGGGCTGCACGTCAGACAGGGAGTCCCCTCTTCTAGAGGGTTGCTGCTAAGTGAGCTACAGGAAAGTCCCTGTGAGCCACAGAGGGACTTCAATGCCTAGCTTATTGCTTTCTCTTTTTTTTAAGTTGAGATGAAAGTATGTAACGTAACATTAACCATTATAAAATAGGTAACTGGCCTTTAGTGCCTGGACGGTGTTGTGCAACCTCTGCGTAGTTCCGAAACATTTGCATCACCCCAGATGGAACTCCCGTATCCATGAAGCAGTCACTCCCATTCCCCCTCCCCCGCAACCCCGTCTACCTGCGTTCCATTTCTATGCATTTCTCTGCATTTTCCCATTCTGGACATTTCATAAAAACGGAATACCACGGCATGTCCCCTGTTGTGGCTTCTTTCACTTAGCGGCATGTTTACAAGGCTCACCCACGTTGTAGCATGAGTCAGTACTTGGTTCCTTCTCATGGCCGAATGGTACTCCATTGTGTGGATGGGTCACAATTTGTACATTTACTCATCCATCCTCATGCATTCTCTTCCTGAACCCCGAGCCCTCTAGCACGGTCAGGAACCTTTACTTTGGGGGTGAAGGAACAACCACCAAATGCACCTGTATACAGATTTCTTGGACAGAAACAACTGTAGAGATGCAGAATGTACTCATGCTCCATGCCAATGAAAGGGAGTAATGGGATGTCAAGTTAGTGGGCAGGGTAACGGCATGACTAATTCATGCATTGTTCAGAGTCGTTGTAAGACTCTATGTTTTCTCTATTAAAAATGACATTTATTGTATATAAAGTCATACATGCTTGTTATGGGAAACAGAGATGAGTATAAAATAAAGAAGAAAATAATCACTTGTGCTCTAACCATCATTTTGGTATATTTCCAATACTTTTTCTTGAGGATGCCACCTATCTACCCATTCATATAAGATCCAGATTTATTTCTATTTATGTGTATCATGGAAAAATATATGATAATACACATATATAATATGCATATATAATATATGTAAATGTATTATATAGAGAGTTATTAGCACATAAATTACGTTGGGTTTTTATTGGTTAAAATTTTGTGTGTTTTTAGTAATACATGCACCTAGTCAAAAGGAAGTGTCTCACCTGGCTGGTGTGGCTCAGTGGATTGAGTGTGTCCCATGGACTGAGAGGTCCCGTTTCAATTCTCAGTCAGGGCACATGCCCAGGTTGCAGGCTCAATCCCCAGTGAGGGGCACGCAGCTGATCGATGTATCTCCCTCACATAGATGTTTCTCTCTCTCTCTCTCCCTTCTTCTTTCTCTCTTTAAAAATTAAATAAAACCATATTTTTTTTTAAAAAAGGAAGTCTCGCCCTGGCCGGTTTGGCTCAGCGGTTAGAGCGTCGGCCTGCGGTCCGGAGAGACCCGGGTTCGGTTCCCGCTAAGGGCACGTACTTCGGTTGCAGTTTGTCCCCGGCCCTGGTTGGTCGTGCGGGTGGCAGCCACTCGATGTGTCCCTTCACGTCAATGTTTCTCTCTCTCTCTCCCTTCCTCTCTCTCCCTCCCTCTGTATCTGTACAAAAAATGGAAAAATATCCTCGGGTGAGGATAAAAAAAAAATAAAAAAAATAAAAAATAAATAAAAAAAGGAAGTCTCTGTTGGGGGTGGGAGTGAAGAAGTCCCACTGGTAACTCCCTCTAGGGGCCCAAACTGTCCCACAGAACTTTCCCTGATGGTGGAAACGTTCCATTCTGTGTCATCTAACACAGTAGCCACCTACCACATGACATGTGGGTAGTGTGAGGGAGGAACTAAACTGGCGATTCTGCCTTATTAATTTAAATATAAATAGCCACAGGCAGTTAGTGAGAAATACAAAGACAAATCAGGCCCACGCCCTTGGAGACTGAACACCCAGCAGAGGGAACCTGACTGCTCTCAGGCACTAGTTTGTGCTAGGAATTATTTCAAGGTACACTACCTGGGGTCAATGTTTCCATGATCCCCTGGTCCTGCAGTCCTCAGAACCAGCCCAGTGCCTGATCTCAGAGTCTGGGATTGAGCCCATGGTTTCCTCTGGTGTTTTGCAGCGCCCCCTCTGTCAGACCTTGAGTGCTGGGCAGAGATGTCGCCAAGATTATTCATGCTGAAGCTCACCTGTCGCTGGGATGGGGGATACCCAGACCCTAAGTTCCTGTGGACAGAAGAGCCAGGAGGTGTGGCCGTGGGGACGTCGAAGTTGGGAGTAGAGATGCTGAACCGGTCCCAGCTGTCGGATGGCAAGAAGTTCAAGTGTGTTGGGAGCCACATAGCGGGGCCCGAGTCAGGAGCCACCTGTGTGGTACAGATCCGTGAGTCTGGCTTGCCTTGTCCCGGGGTTGGGTCTACTCATTTTCTTCTGGGAGAACCTTTTGAAAGAAGGCCTAAGAAATCAATCTAAGGATGCTGGAATGAACCGAATTCCTTCCCTTTCTTCCTCTCTTTTGCTTTATGTTACCTTCCTTTCAAACTTTGAAGATACTTAACCAAGCGTCTTGGTCTTAGTCCGAGCTGTTTTTCACTTGACAGGTGTTAATTAAGCACCTGCTATGCACCAGGCAGAGTTTCCAGGTGTTGGGGATGGAGTAGTGAACATGACAAACAAGGTTCTTTCATTAGTTATCTCCTGTTATGTAACAAATCACCCCCAAGCTTGATGGCGTAAAACAACGAATCATTTATTATCTCACAATTTCTGTAGGCCAGGAATTCAGGGAGGACACAGTGGGGATGGTTTGTCTTGGTTTTACCATGCCTAGGGTCTCAGCTGCAAGACTTGTTTGGGAGGGTTGAAATCATCTGAAGGATCCACTTCTTCCAAGATGCTCATGCTCACACCTGGCTAGTTGCTTCCTCTCCAGGTGGGACTCTCCACAGGGCTACTTGAGTGTCCTCACAGCAGGGCGACTGGCTTCCCCCAGAGCAAGCAATGCAAGAGGGAGCAAGCCAGGTAGATGATAGCCTTTTCATGACCTTGCCTCCGAAGTCACATGACATCCCTTCTGCCACAGTCTATTCATTAGAAGTGAGTCACTCAGCCTGGCTTCACTTTCGAGGAGTGTGGGGAGAATTAGGTACCACTTTTTTTTTAGGTACCACTTTTTGAAGGGAGGGGTGTCAAAGAATTTCTGGACATATTTTTAAAACCATTGCTACTGTTTCACGGAGCTTAAATTCTTCTGGGTGGAGTGGAGGTGGAAAGAAGATAGAAAGTACAATAAGTAAGATAGGTTCAGAGAGTGAGAATAATTATGAGAATAAATTGGTGTTTGTAAGACAGTCTCTTAGAGGGAAGGTGGCAGGGAGGTCTTACGACAATAATACAGGATGAGGCAAAAGTAGATTTGTGAGTACAGGGAACTCGGGGTTTATTCTTGTATTAGTTATTAATTATTGTATTACTCTCCACGCGAACGACTGTAGACCTACTTTCGTCCCACCCAGTAGGGTATTTTGAGCTGAGGCCGCAAGGACAAGAAGGAGTTGACCAGGTGAAGAACTATGGGCTGAGTATTTGTGGCAGAGAGGACAGCAAGTGTAAAGGTCCTGTGGTAGAAACATACTTGGCATTTGAAGAACTCAGAGAAGATCGGTATAGCCAGAGCATTGTGCTTGAGGTACCGGTGAGGCTAGATGGGTGTGGTGTCCTCCAAAAAGATATGTTCAAGTCCTGACCCTGGTACCTATGGATGTGACCATATTTGGAATAATGTCTTTGTAGGCGTGATTATGGTAAGATGAGGTCATACTGGATTAGTGTGGGCTCTATTCCGAAGACTGGAGTCCTTATAAGAAGAGGAAAATTTGGACACGGAAACATAGGGAAAATGCCAAGTGATGGTGGAGGCAGAGATTAGAGTGATGCATCTACAACCCAAGGATACCAATGATTGTTGGCAACCACTAGAAGCCAAGAAAGGGGCATGGGATGGTTTCTACTTCAGAACCCTTAGAAAGAATCACCCTGGCCATTTTGGCTCAAGGGTTAAAGTGTCAGCCTATGGGCCAATGAGTCGCAGGTTCAATTCCAGTCAAGGGCATGTACCTTGGTTGTGATTTGTCCCCGGCCCTGGTTGGGGTCGTGTGGGAGGCAGCCACTCGGTGTGTCTCTCTCACATCGATGTTTCTCTCTCTGTCCCTCCCTCCCTCCCTCCCACGCTATCTGAGCAAAAATGGAAAAATGTCCTCGGGTGAGGATAAAAAAAAAAAGAATCAAGCCTGCTGATTTTGGACCTTTTACTTTGTGAACTGAAGACAATAAATGTGTATTGCTTTAAGCCACCTGGTGGCTTTGTTACAGTAGCTCAGGAAACTAATACCACAGTAAGCAAGGACCAGAGCATGTTGGGTTTTATTGGCCATGGTGAGGTTTTCCTCCTGGTTTATCAGGATGGTCGTCAGGACCATGAGCATGGAGGAGCTGACATGCTGAGAAGTGAGCCTGACAATACCAGGAGGTGCTTGTATTCCTAGTCAAGTGGCATTCAAACATGACGCGAGCGTCCCCGCTGTGTCAGGTGCTGTCCCTCGCCTTGGGCAACGGAACAGACCAAACACTTCCTTCCTGTGCTAGAACAGAGATGAGCAAACAATGTCCCATTGGCCAAATGGCCAAAGTAGTCTTTTGCAAATTAAAAAAAAAGAGAGAGAGAGAGATAATTTACATAACATACACTTCACTATTTTAAAATGTAAAATGCAGCCCTGGCCAGTTTGGCTCAGTGGTTAGAGCGTCGGCCCGTGGACCAGAGAGACCCGGGTTCGGTTCCCACTAAGGGCACGTACCTCAGTTGCAGTTTGTCCCTGGCCCCAGTTGGGGTCGTGTGGGTGGCAACCACTTGATGTGTCCTCTCTCGCGTCGATGTTTCTCTCTCTCTCTTCCTCCCTCCCTCCTGCTCTATCTGAAGATAAATGCAAAAAAAAAAGTCCTCAGGTGAGGATAAAAAAATTAAGTAAAATGTATAATCCAGTGTATTCACAATGCTGTCACCACTATTCGACTCCAGAACATTTCCATCACCCCGTAAAGAAACCTCGCATTCACTGGCAGCCACTCTCTGGAAGGACTGTGTGAGAATGTTCATTTCCCAGTACTTCTCCTGAGTCTAAGTGCTATCATAACTTTTTTAGACTTTTCTTGTTTTCTACTTAAGACATGGCATCATTGATTTCATTTGGGTTTCTTTGATCCCTGGTGGGGTTGATAATTTTCACATATTTATTAGTTCCCTGTATGTCATCTGTGAGCTCTCTGTTCACATTTTGTCTATTTTTCCATTGGGTGGTTCATCTTTTTTTATCACTCCATAAGAGTACTTTATATTAACTTTATGGATTTTATCGACCCGTCTATGCATGTCATAGATAATTTTTTGGTATATTTTGCCCCTGAAGTACACATGTGGCATTTCTGTTAGTGATGAGCAGTTTCTGATTTTGAAGGGGTCACCACTGGTCAGTCTTGTTCTTTTAGGTTTCTGTGCTCAGAAGGTCTTTTCCTGTTTCCTGATTATGATTAACATGTTATTTGTAGTCCTCACAATAGCCTGCAAATTAGAGAGGATGACTCGTAAATTGCAGATGATGACATTGTGTGCACTGACTTACCCATGATCGCCCAGCCTGTAAGGGACTGAGCCTCACTCTGCCCAGGTTGGTCTGACAACAGCCCTTTCCTCCCCTGGGCCCACTGCCTCGTTTGGGATCTCTTTCTACACCCAGTCCAGCAAATATTTTTGTGTAGGAGGTAGGTAGGCATCGGCACGATGCCAGGTAATGCAGAGGCATACAGAGAAGTCTGATAAATGTGAAACGGGAATGGCAATACCACACTGTTAGTGACATGGACATTTATCAAGTGCAAACTGTGTGCAAGGTGCTGTGCAAGTATTCTCCACACCCACCATGTGTAGTCCTCACAGCACCACACATTTGGTGGCTTAAAACAACAGAAATTCCTTTGTCACGGTTCTGGAGGCCAGAGTCTGCAAGCAAGGTGTCAGCAGGGCCATGCTTCCAACAGGCACCCAAGGAGAGTTCTCCCTTGTGGCTGCAGTTTCTGGTAGCCCCAGGCATTCCTTGGCTTGTGGCTGCGTCACGCCAATCTCGGCCTCTGTCTTCACATGGACCTCCCTTCTCCGTGTCCTCTCCTCCCGTAAGACACCGGTCATTGGGTTTAGTCCCACCTTAAATCCAGGCTGATTTCATCTTGAGATTCTTAACTAAGGAATTACATTCGTAAAGGCCCTATTTCCAGTTAAGGTTACCGTCTGGGGTTCCGGGTGGCCGTGAGTTTGGGGAGGGTGCTACTCAACCCGCTGTGCTTCATTATATGGACGCGAAACCGCGGGAATGGACTGTCCCTGACTCATGCACCTGGAAAGGAGCACACACGTTCACAGTGGTGTGCACCGGGGAGTCCTAGAGCAGGTTGTGAACAGTGAGGCCCCGGGGTGAACATGTGATGGACTGGTGCTGAGAGCCTGGACGTGGCCTGGAAATGACAGGTTTTGCCATTTCTTCCCTGCCCCTCCTATTTCATTTGCAGATCTTGCCTAAGCCCCAAAGACTTGGCCAGTCATTTGAATCTAAATACAGGCCGGGGCAAAAGCAGGTTTCCAGTTGCGAGTATGAGAAGCACAGAGTTTATTCTTTGATTGTTATTTATTTATTACTGTGCTATTTTCCCCCACAAACAACTGAAGACCTGCTTTTGCCCCACCCTGTGTGTGTGCTCAGGATTCGGAAATGTTTCCGGAGAAGGGAGTTGACAGGAAGTTTTCCTAATTCCAGGAGCATAGGAAACAGGCACAGGAGCCTGGAACCTTCTGGACTCTGACACTGTCCAGTCGTCCCGTCTGTCTTCATGGGCACGCCAGCCCAGCGCTTCGCAAGCCTTGAGGTGCAGACAGGTCCCCCGGGGACCTGGGAATATGCACATCCTGACTGTAGGTGGGAGCTGAGCCCGAGACTGCATTTCTCACCAGTCCCCAGGAAGTGCTGCTGCTGCTGGTCCACAGACCACACTGAGTAGCAGGGCCCTTCGAGGAGGGGGGTGGGTCTCTGGATCCTCACTGCACTTGGGAGGATGAGTAAGTCATTGAAAGGTGATGTCGGTGTCCACCTTAGGGACGCCGAACAGCATAGCCCCCAAAATGATGAAAAGTGATACCTTTGGGGATGCCTGCGGCTCAGGTCTCTCTTCAAGCGGCATGTAGTGCCCCTAACCTGGAGAAACCAGCTCAGTTCATGATAAGCTGCGGCATTAGCCAGCCCCGTGCGCAAGGCCCTGCTGCGTGGTCTCTCGCTTGCAGATCTCTGAGGGCCTTGCGTCACCCACCCCACCACCCCAACCCCTGACCTTGCACACAGCATCCTCTTAAGAGAAATTCTGAATTAAAAAAATTTTTTAATACTTTTTTATTGATTTTTTAGGGGTGGGGGCAGAGAGAAGCATTGATGTGAGAGAGACATGGATCAGCTGCCTCCTGCACACCCCGCACTGGGAATCGAGCCCACAGCCCGGGCAGGTGCCCTGACTGGGAATGGAACCGGGACCTCTCAGTCCACGGGCAGTGCTCAGTCCACTGAACCACTCATGCCAGGCAAGAAACTCCGAATTTATAGATGCCATGCCAGCTGAATGGGTGACTCAGCTTTTTGAGGGATGGATGCCATGTTTGTCAAAAGTGTATTTATGGCCCTGGCTGGTTTGGCTCAGCGGTGAGAATGTTGGCCCTCGGACCAATAAGTCACGGGTTTGATTCCGGTCAAGGCCACGTACCTTGGTTGTGGTTTGTCCCCGGCCCTGGTCGGGTCGTGCGGGAGGCAACCAGTCGATGTGGCTCTATCACATCGATGTTTCTCTCTGTCTCGCTCTCTCCCTCCCTCCCACTCTATCTGATAATAAGAAAAATATCCTCAGGTGAGGAATAAAAAAATTTAAAAAGTGTATTTATGTACATGATCTTTGTTTGGTGGTTGGGGGGGGGCACTAGCTGAACTGTTTTGCTTTTCATGAAGGCTGAGGGACCATTTCTCAAACTTTGGTTTGGGGGCTGCAGAGTACAGACATACTGAGGTTTGTCACTGCTGCTGGCTTTGTGACCCCAAAGGAAATTCGGGTTAACCACAGCCAGGGGAAGTTCGAGTTAGCAACATGGAGGCAAACCTGACAGTTGATCCAGGACGGGGTGCAGCACGTGAGTGTCCTGAGCAGACCTAGGTCTGGGGTATTCTCTTTTGTTGACCTGACCTACAGAGAGAGGTTTTGGTCTGTTCCACCTCACCTCCCCCCCCCTTCCCTCTACGCAGGACGCCAGCAGTGAAACCCTAGATTCTCTCTCGGAACGACGGCCAAGGGGAAGTGTGCAGGCTCACCCTCCCAGGCGGGAACCCAGCATGCCACTCCATCTCTCAGCTGCCGAAAATACGGTCTTAATAACCCCCAGGTGAACCCGTCACCCTTCCCAGGAGGGGTGCATAAAAAAACAAATGGGTCACTATGGTCGATCTTATAGCTCCTCATGTCCTGCTCAGTCAGACCTCAAGGCCACAGGGACACCCTATGCATTTCTAGTACAGAACTGTGGTAGGCAGAATAATGGTGTCCCCAGTGGTGTCCCTTTCCTTATCCGTAGAACCTGCAAAATACGTTACCTTCCATGTCAAAAGAGACTTTGCCGATGTGATTGAGGATTTGGAGATGGGGGGCATGTCCTGGATTATTATCCAGATGGACCCAATGTCATCACAAGACTCTTTATAAAAAGGGAGGCTGGAGGGTCAAACTCGGTATCAGGTAATGTGACAACATCACCAAGCAAAAGGCTGGAGTGATGCATCGAAGGGGCCACCAGCCAAGCCATGCAGGTTGCTTCAGGAAGCTGGAAAAGCAAGGAAATGGATTGTCCCCTAGAGCCTCCAGAAGGAAGAAACTGCCCCACACCTTGGACTTCTGACCTCCAGAACTATAAGTGACATGTTTCTGTTGTAAGCCACTAAGTTCGTAGCAGTTTGTTACAGCAGCAACAGGAAACTCATACAGCTACCTCATTGTCCCCTTGAACGCCCTTGTCAGGCTGCGTGCCCGTGTTTAAAGACATGACTAATGAGCTTATTATGCATAGAAGCCTATAGCATAGACGGAAGGAATGTGTTCTCCACAAGCCCAACTACTTGGGTTCCGATCTTCCATAGGGGAACCAACTCCTCCTGGTTTCCCACACTTTCCCTGTCTTAGCATTGAAAGCCCCATGGGCCAGCAACCCCCTCAGTCTTTAGCGAACTGGGACAGTCCGTCACCCTGAGTCCTCGCTGCATCACTTATTTTGTTGTGTGACGAACAAGTTACTTAACTTTCTCTGTGTCTCTCAGTTTCCTCATCTGCAAAATGGAAATAATGACGGGGCTGTTGTGAGAACGAACTGGGTTAGTAGGTATACCTGGGCCTAGCCCATCGTCAGCGCTCAGTAAATGTTCGTGTTTATTATATGAGACCAGGCGTGGGACCGAAGTTCCTGGAGTGGCTTCATTAGGAAGGAAATACTGTTCTTGAATGTCTCAGGCCGTGGCTTGAGTCTTCAACATTTGTTTCTCTTTACCTTCTTCTGATCCCCAGGGAGCCCCTCCCTTCTCTCTGAGCCCATGAGGACTTGCTTCATGGGGGGCAGTGTGACACTCACCTGCCAGGTGTCTGGAGCCTACCCCTCTGCCAAGATCCTGTGGCTGAGGAACCTCACCCAGCCCGAGGTGGTCATCCAGCCCAACAGCCACTATCTCATCACGCACAATGGCCAGAGCTCCACCCTGACCATCCAAAACTGCTCCCAGGACCGGGACGAGGGCTACTACGTCTGCCGGGCTGAGAACCCTGTGGGGGTGAGGGAAGTGGACATCTGGCTGAGCGTGAAAGGTAAGTGCCCCAGATGAAGAGGCTTGAGAGCTCTTCAGAGGACCTGGCACCAGCCTGGGGACAGCTCGGTGCTTCCCTGCCTGAGGGTCACTGCCGTCTGGAGAAGGCATAGCTGCGTGCTTGTGGCTTGACAAGACGGATGGAAGAAATTAATGTCCAGTCCTAAATCTCTAATATTTGCATAGGGATAAAAACTACTTAATATCACCCTTGCCGGTTTGGCTTAGCAGTTAGAGCGTCAGCCTGCAGAGTGAAGGGTCACAGGTTCGATTTCCGGTCAAGGGTGCGAACCTGGGTTGCAGGTTTGATCCCCAGTCCCAGGCGGGGTCCTGTGGGAGGTAATCAAGTGATGTGTCTCTCTCACATCAACGTTTCTCTCTCTCTCTGTCCCTCTCCTTCCCTCTCACCCCCGATCCCTTCCTTCCACTTTATCTACAAAAAAAAAAAAAAAATCAGTGAAAAAATATCCTCATGTGAGGATTAACCAAAAAAATAAATAAATTTTAGAACATTGCTTAATATCTGTTATAGACCAAAGAATATCTATCTGTATATGAAAATTATATAAATATGAAATGTAAAAAATATATAATGTAAGTTGTGAAGCATAATGGCAAAATGAACACCCAAGAAATTACATCCTGCTTAAGATATAGAACAGTGCCAGAATTCTATATTACCTGTGGGTATGGTGGCCAGATTTAGAGAACAGTATCAAAATGAATAAAGTGAGATACCCACTTAAATTTGCATTTTGGAAAAACAAAGAAAACGTCTTTAAGTAGTATAAGTGTGTCCCAAATATTGCACAAGGCATACTTATTCTAAAAAAAAATCATTGGTTGTTTATTGAAATCCAGTTGTAACGGGGTATCCTGTCTTTTATCTTGTAAACCTACCTGTGGACCCCGTTTTAGTCTCATCTTGGCCCCCTAAAATAGATAACCACCATCCTGAATTTCATGTCCTTTTTAAGAAAAAAATTGTGCTCCATAAGGACACACATCTAAATAATATGCTGTTTGTTTTTGGTTTTGAGTTTTAAAAAGTGGCGGTTACCGTACAAATACAGCCTTTTGTGGCTGGCTTTTTTCACTCCACATTTTGCTTCTTTGCTTTATTCCTGCCAAAGTGCTTAATGACACTTTGTGCTTCTTGACCACTGTATACTGTATCCATTGAGTCACTGTTACACAGCTAAGGTACTGATTTTCCTGCCGATGGACGTGTGTGTCGTTTCTGATTTTTGTGGTGGTTTTGATGAACACACAGTGTTGCTATGGAAATAGTTTACCCAACTCCTGTGTGTACATAAACACCTGGCATATATTCCTCGAGGATACGTTATGAGGAGCAGAAATGAAGGGTAACCGAGTCATCTTACAAAGTGATGATGCCGCTTTCCATCTCTAACGGCGACGCTATGGACACCGCTGCTCCACCTTCTCACCAGCAGCCTTGTTCGGTTCTGCCCATCAAGCAAAGTGTAACCTCACTGTGGTTCTAACTTGCATTTCTCTGATTGCCCAGAAGGTTGAACATTACTTCAGATTTACTTGCTATTTGTATTTCTTCTGTGACGTTCCTATGTATTTGTGTCTTTTGGTATCTTACCCTGTCTTAGGAGCACGCGGGCTGTCTTTAGAAATCCGCACACGGATTCCCTGTTAGTTTTATGTTACCGGCATCTTCTTTCAGCTCCTTGTTTGTCTCTTTCACTTTCTTTCGGGGATCCTTTCATTAGCAAACATTCTTACTTTTAATGGAGTTGACGTTACGAATTTCTTCTTATGTCATTAGCAATTTTTGTCTTACCGATCCCTAACTGTCCCACCGTCACAATGGTAAGTGTTTTCACGCTTGCCTTTCACAATGAAATCTTTAATCCATCTAGAGCTGACTTTTGTGGATGGTTGTGAGGGTCAGGATCAAGGCGCCCCTGCCCCCGCCAATGCGGATGACCATTTATTCCAGCACCCTTTCTCAAATAGTTTCTCTTTTTGCTCGCTGATCGGTCATATATCAAGTTTCCTTTTATGTGTCGGCCTGTTATTGGATTCTCTGTTCTTTTCCATTGATCACTGTTTATCGTGACACCAGTAACTCACTCTGAATTTACTGTGACTTTGTGAACGGTCTTGATGTGTGGGAGACACAGAGATTTTAACTTTCCAGTGTTCTTGTACATCACATGCTTCACTTGGTTCCCACACACTCTCTGAGGTAGGGAGATAAGATACTGATCCCGCTTTCCAGAGGGGTCTTACGCCTTGTCCAACATCATGAAACCAGACGAGGCCAGGACCCAGGCGGGGGGGGGCGGGCATCGCTCTCCTAGCTGCGTGCCTGTCAGGTGGAAGAGTCAACAGTGTGTGTTGTCTTTGCAGAACCTTTAAACATCGTAGGAATCGTGGGGACCATCGTGAGCCTCCTTCTGCTGGGACTGGCCATTATCTCGGGCCTTATGTTGTATTACAGCCCTGTGTTCTGCTGGAAATGTAAGGACGTCTTGGGGTCTTCTTTCTTTCAGGCTTTCTGAAAGGGTGTGGTTGGGGGAAGGAGGCTCCCGTTATGCTCCCACTGAAGTCCCAGTCTGTAGGCTTCTTCATGGCCATAGTGAAGCCCCTAAGTATCATTCCAGAACACCCCGTCACCGCTCACGTGGGGCCAGTTTGCTCGTCCCTTCTTTGGTCGGTATTAGATTGATGAAAAACTGTTGTGAGGCTGAAGCGGATATGATTTGATATTAATTTTTTTTTTTTTCTCCTTTCTCCCTTTAGTAGGAAACACTATCAGGTGAGTGTTCCCCAGATTCAAGTCAAAAACCCATTTCCATGATCTGTCTTCACTGTTTTGTCTCCTTTCATAAGAACAATAATAGCAGCTACCGTTAAGGAGCAACCATTGCCCACACTGGGCTTCGTGAGGCATTGTTATAAACTCTTTCGTGAATTCTTCAGGGTGGAGGTGGCATCCCGTTTCCAAGAAGGGAGGCAGAGGCTCAGGGAAGCAATTTCTGCAGTCTCATCTAGGAAGTAAATGGTAGTGCTCACATTCAGACCTAGGTCCGACTGGTTCCAAAGTCTATGTTCTCTTTACAATGCTAGTCCTCGGGGTGGGGCGCCTTGCTGGGCTGTCACCGAGGCGTAGAGAAGCCCAGTTATTTATGCATTGACTTTACCTAGTTTTCTAAAGAGAGCTAAAAGGAAGAATTGAGTCATGGTCTTACAGCATGTGTAGGAAAACTAGTCTGAGCATGCCTGGAAGCCCCTCCCAAAAGGCAGCCTCAGTAGGGGCAAAGTTACTAAATGAACTTGAGTATTTTACTCCCCAGGGAGATTTTAGGTGGGAGCAAAGAAGGCTTCTCTTTGTTTCTCTTTACCCATTAATAACCGTGGGCTATTATTGTTCTGACATAGTGGCTCACAATGAGGGGATATTATTGTTTTGGGACCCTGTTCTCATGGGAACAGTGTTGCCTTTTCTGCAGTGTATTTGAGGAGCATTCTCCCTGGGAGTCTCATTCCCAGGTTTATTTCTCGGAGGTGGCAGTGAGGTGGAGTAGGAAGGGCTTCGGAATGAGCGGACCTGGTCCAGTCGCAGCTCTGCCCTGTGCGCGGAAAATCCCTGACCTCCTCTGAGCCTTTGTCCCATCTGCTTCCCAGAGGGAGGGTGTGAGGAGTCAATGAGAATGTGATGCTCCTGGGACTGTCACTGGCTTGTGGCAAGTGTTCTTTCCTTTAAAAAAAATGTACAGTCTGGCCCTGGCTGGTTTGGCTCAGAAGTTAGAGCATCAGCCCGCAGACTTAAAAGTCTCAGGTTTGATTCCCGGTCCAGGGCATGTGTCTGGGTTGCAGGTTTGATCCTGGCCCCGTTGGGGTCATGCTGGAGGCAACCAATTAATGTGTCTCTCTCACATGGATCTCTCTCTCTCTCTCCCTCCCTCCTTTCCACTCTATCTAAAAAAAAAAAAAAAAAGTACAGTCTGACTGGGTAGGCAAAACCAGCAATAAACTAAGAGCAATTCAGTGCTACACCTCTGGGCACGGACTCCAAATGCAGTGGTAGTTCAGGACTTCAGGGGGAAGGAGAGGACTCTATCCGGACCTTAAATTAGGAGGAAGAGGAGAAATTCCAGTTAGTGGAGCAGAAATAAGGGCATTTCAGGAAAGGCACAGTATTTGGGTACAGGCTGTGAGGGGGACTAAAATGTTAGGTGCCTGGGACAATGAGGTCACCTTCCCAAGGAGCAGGGGAAGAATGGCAAAACTCACCCAGAACGAGGTAGGATGACCTGTAGCAATCTGGCTGCATCTCTTTGAGAGGTGACAATCACACTGTCACCTTGTGACTTCACCAAGTTGAATGCAGGAAGAATTTTTTGTGGGATCAAAGGGGTGGCAAAGCAGCTAGTGTTTCCTATTCAGTGTGGGCTGAGGTTGGGGGGAAATGGGGCATCTCCCTGATTATTTCTCCCCCTTTGACAATTAGGGGACAAGACATGGGTGATGTCATGGTTTTGGTGGATGAGGAAGAGGAAGAGTTGGAGGAAGAAGAAGATGCTGCTGAAGAGGAGGAGGAAGAGGAGGAGGAGGAGGAGGAAGCCAACGAGAGGGAGGAGTTGCCGAAAGAAATACACAAGCACGGCCACATTCATAGGGTGACCGCGCTGGTGAATGGGAACATAGACTGGATGGCCAATGGGCTCCAGGCCCTGCAAGGTAAGTTCTTTTCCCTTAAAAGCACTCCTGCTACGTGGTGGTGAGCTTCCCAGTAGGAAACTTCTAAGTGGTTTTTAAAAGGCGGGAGAGGATAGTTAAAGTTTAATCTGGAACCTTAGCATCTCTTATCAACTACCAATGCAACAATGAAATTGGCAAACATTTACCGAGGGCCTGCTCTGGGAAAGGCCCGGTATCGACACTGTCGGAGAAGAGAAAAGACAGACCAGCAGTATCTGCAGGCAGGAAGCTTTGTGAGCCCGGTCAGAGCGAACAGACTCAAACGGTGGGGAAATGGAACAGGGGCAAGACTGAACCAATGCTTCGAGACAGCAGTAGGGGAGCAGCTGTAAGGAGGAATTTGATTAATGGCCCGATGAATATGTTTGAAAATGACGGGACCTCCGGAGAAAGACAAGAGCTTCGAGGGCTACCTTGGTCAGGAGCAGCTTAATGGAATAAGAGGGATAGGAGGCAAGTCTTTCGGGACAGTTGAGTTTGAACGAGCAAGGAGCTGGGCTCGTTCCAGGTGAGGGGAACGGCATGAGCCACGAGTCTGAAGGGTGGACGGGGTCAGGCTCGTCTAGAGGATTTTAAGTGGAAAGAGCAGGTGAAAAGGGGGCACACACCCTGCCTCACCTGCTCCTCCATGAACTCCGATTCCAAGGCTCGCCAGTAAAGGACTAGCAGTCAAGATGATGAAGACAGATGGAAACAGGGTCACCGCTATTGCAATCACTCAGAGTCCGGTCTCCTTTTCCCTCCTGCACAGATGACAGCAGTGAGCAGCAGAGTGATACCGTTCAAGAAGAAGACAGGCCAGTTTGAAGAAGAGAGCTGTCCTTCATTATCCTGTCTTAAGAGCTTGGGAAGCTACACTGAAGAGCTTTTCATTTTGCTTTGACTTGACTTGTACCCATTTGAGGGCTTCAGATGGTTTGAGGCTCTCAGCACACACACACACACACACACACACACACACACACACACTTCTGTCCGTTTTTAAAACCATTGGTTTAATTTGCTGTAACATTTCTTAAGGGTGTTTAAAAGCTCTGGGAATAGGCAGTGTGCGGGGGAAAAGTTGCACTTGGAGTCTGAGGGGCCCTTTTCATCGTGACTCCTGGCTGGATCCATGTTGACTAATGCTAATTTGGGGGAGCAGGAGTGGAGGGGGCACCTGGCCTCAGTGCCCTTTGCCACTGGTACAGGTCTGTAACCTGCTTACCTCAGCACACAAGGGTCTAGTAAGGGGTGACAGGGACACTTCCTTTATCACTGCCCAGGTGAGCCAAGGAACCAGGGAAATATCAACTCACTGGGAAAGGTGAGGAGTCAGCTACTGATGCAGTTCAGACGGAGGCAGCGTGGTTCAGGGTGTCAGAGTCGGAAACACCAGGCTTGAATCTGAGCCCTGCTTCTTACTTGTTTCATGGGCTCGGGCAGGTTGCTTTACCTCTCCCCGGGCCTCAATGTCCTCATCTATAGAACAGGTGAAATCACACCTACCTTCCAGGGGTGTAGTGGGGACTCTGGGATGTGCAAGTGCCTAGGAGGTGCTCAAGGGATGTTCGTTCTCGTCTCCTTTGCCTTCCCTGGCGAGAAAAGAAATGTCACCTCTACGCTGCAAGCCGCCGGAATGGTGTCAGACGAGGGCATTAGCAGCACTCTCCTGGTGATCTTGGCTTCTCTGGAAATAGAACTTTTTTCAAAAGAGGTGGGGGCCCATAAGAGAAAGTGCCTTTCATTAGAACCTCACATTTTGCAAAGCTTCATATTTATGCAGCAGCCTCTTATACACAATGTCAGCTTTCAGCCTTTCCCGTTCTTCCTTTCTCCTGCGACTTGGAGAGAAGGCTGGAGAAACGGTCTGTAAGGGAGAGTCTGGTGAGGTGTACTCCTTGAGCCGACCAGCTCATCCAGCCTTCGGTTTCTCGATCTCTGGAGTGGGAATGGGAAAACATGTTTCCTTCCTTTCTCTGAGGATGTTATGAGGATACACTGATCAATAATGCTAAGTTTCGAATGAAAATAACGTGTGATGGCCTTAAGCTGCTATTGCTTCCAGTAGAACCTGTACTAGGGTTCAGGTTAGAGATCTTTTCCCCCTGATTTCATTCAAATCTCTCCTCAATGTCAGGGGCCTTATAACGGTGCAAAGAGTGCGTGCTAAGCATAAAAATCTGACTTGAATTTGCATTCTTTAATATTGCACATTCTGCTCTGATGGGCAAGACCTAGAGCTTAGAGGAGAAAACTTCCCTTTTCCAGTAACAGGGACTGGGACTCCTAAAATGAGACACTGGTTATCTGCAGAGTTACCCTGCAGGTGTGTTTGGGGTTGGTCTGTTTTCTTGATGGAAGGGACTAAACTGAGCAAGTCACTAGAAGTGAGTCCTGTCCCCGGCTCAGAACACTGGGGAGCTCAGGAGCTGGCTGCAAATTTGTACCCCTCGGAAGAGCCGTGAACGGCAGTCTCATTGTTCGGTTGGGTCTTTTGCTGCGTGGTACCTTGTGTATGTAACCACTCTAACCAGTCTAAGTTAGTGTCACTTACAGAACAGGACACTTCGGTTGCTTCTAAAGTTACTGAACACTGAGCTAGTTTCTCCTTTAGAATCTTCGATGAATTGCATTCCTGAATCTGAGCGTCTACTATGCAGAGGCAACAATATTTTTTTTAAAAGAAAATAAACAACTGTCAGGGAAAATTCCCTAGCTGGGAACACAAGATCACTGAGGTGTTTCTGCAATTTCCTCTTCTCTTGCACACATACTTGATAGGTAGGAAATCTTCAAGGCAGAGTTTTTCCACTAGCAAATGGGAGCTTCAAGGTCTTGGTGCCAAACACTCTATAAACCCTTGAGTAGCTGAGCTGTGACTGCTGTCACTTGTATCTGAGCCCTGTGTGCACATTACTATGGCTGGGTCAGGTAAGAACCCAGGTACTGGGGTCTTCAAGTTTCAAGGATTTTTAAAGAAAGGGCTTTTTGGATGACCCATCCCCAAACCCATAAGCATATTGACAATGGGTTGCAGGCTTTGTGTGGCAAAGTCCAAGTTGTTACATTACGCTTTACCTACATTCTTATCTGAATGTATTGTGAACTCTGAGACTAGATCTCGTTATCAGAACCAGGAAGATAAGTATTTCAGGGCTATCACAACTGACATTTCTTTTTCTCTAAACCAGGCAGACGTTGGGGAAAGGGCTCCTGCAATCTTGTGGCTTTGGAAGTAGCTCTAATTCTCACAAGCACCTACAGGCCCTATTACTGCAGCAGGAACACACAATGGGGAATTTCCATAACCCATGCACTGAAACCTGGAAAATACTCCTTGCTGGGTAAAAGTGATGGTGATGCAATACGTGCCAACTGGTATTTCTCACCATGGGGCTGGCCAGGATCGGCTGCAAAGAAAAATAAGCAGATCCTCAGCATTATTTACAGTTGAATATTTGATGTGGGGAGGTGGGTTGGGACAATTCATTCTGAGGTTACAATGGAATTTTTTTTTTTTTTTTTTAAGATTAAGGAATAAAGTTATTTTTAAAGAAAAGCTTTGGTTTGCTTGAGAATTGATTCGTAAACTGAAAGATTTGGGGAAATGGGTTTACCTCCCCCAATGTTTTCCTAGCTTTCTCACTATCGGTTAACAATTGCCATTTTATTCTTTTCCATGGCTTGGAGATACTACTCACCCTCTGAGACACCCTGGCCTTTTTAAATCTCCCTGAGAAACTTGTTCTTCCATTTAAGAAAAAATGTTTCCTATTGATTTTAGAGAGAGGGGGGGATGGAGTGAGAGAGAAATATCGATGTGAGAGAGAAACATGAATTGGCTGCCTCCCCTCTGGCTGGACTGGAGATGGAACTGGCAACCTACCTATGTGCTCTGACCAGGAACTGAACACACCACCACCTTTGGTGTACAGAGGACACCACCTTTGGTGTACAGAGGACATTCTAACCCAGCCACACAGGCCAGGGCTGTTCTTCCATTTTTTTCTCCCCAAATTCGCCTCTTTTTGCTCAGAATGCTGGCCTCCTAAAGGGCTAGATGTCACCACAGAGAACACAGAACTGATAGACTGTTTCACAAGACAATTTATATCAGCCTTCTGGTCCTAGTCCCTGTTGGTGACTTTGGAGATTTCCACCGGACCCAACTAATTGTAGTCCCCACAGTGTCTCACCCCACCTCCCACTTGAGGTTGCCCAATTCCTTTCCCTTTTCCTGTTCTAGGCCTTTCCTCTTAGGTCACTTCTCCCTCCCACCCCCCTTTATTTTACTTCACTCCAAGCTCCCTGGCTCTTGAGCAAAGCTGTCCCATTTTAAACGTACTTCCTTTCTAACAAACCCACGTTCCTACCCTGACCTGTTTCCCGTGTTCTTTTCCACCCAGGGTCTCTATTTGAATGTGGTGTTTACTCCAAGCCTGTTTTCTGAGCCCCCCATTTGACCTCTGCCTGTTTTCACTTCTGTCCCCCCCTGTCGACGAGCACCTTTCAGGCCCCCTTTTGCCCCAACCCTCCAAGGTCACACCCACGTTGCCCCAGCTTCTCCATCCGGGACCCCCACCACTTTCGCCTGCCTCCTTTTCCCTGGCCCCTTGCTCGCCGCCCACTTGAACCTTGGCATGCCGGTCCCTTCATTTGCCACTGGGCTTTTCTTTTTCCGGTTCCCATTTTTTAAAAATAGCCCCACTTACCCCTTCTCAGAGCCCCCCACTTTACCCCGCCCCCGTCTCCCCCACACTCATGGTCTCCTGGTCTCCGGCACCTCGGCTCCCACTGACCCTCAGATCGGGCTTCCCCAGGTCTCCAGTTTGATGCTCCAGCCCAGTGTTCCTGACCGCCCCCGGTTCCCTCCTCCGCCCTTGCTTTGTCTCCCCAATTCCCCCATCCCTGGTGTGTCCAGGTCCTTTTATTTTTAGTCTCCTTCCTACTGACCCCCACTCCGTTTACCTGGTCCCCGCCTCCGGCTTCCCCTCCGCTCTGCTCCCGGCCGCGCACCCCGTTTCACGCCCGTCTTCTTCGCCGTGCCCCTCCCCCGTCCCCACCCCTCCCCCGACCCACCGCGTGCTGCCCACCGCTCTCCCAGCCGGCTCTTCCCCGCCCCGCACCCTCCCCGGCCCGCGCCCGCGCCTCGTTTCTCCAGGGCTGGCTTTCACCTGGCCCCTCCACGTCTCCCTCGGCCGCACCCCCTCATTCCCCCACCCAGTTCTCCCTCGGGGCCCGCTCCCCCCGCACTCCCCCGGTTCTCCTGCCTGCAGCCCCCGCCCCCCCCCCCCCGTTCCCCCTCGGCCCGCTCCCCCCGCACTCCCCCGGTTCTCCTGCCTGCAGCCCCCGCCCCCCCCCCCCCGTTCCCCCTCGGCCCCGCTCCTCCCCCCCCCGCCCCCCCCCCGTTCTCCCTCGGCCCTCTCCCCCTCCCCCAGGTTCTCCTGCCTGCAGCTCCCGCCCCCCGTTCTCCCTCGGCCCCGCTCCTCCCCCCCAGCTCCCCGGTTCTCCCTCGGCCCCGCTCCTCCCCCCCCCGCCCCCCGGTTCTCCCTCGGCCCCCCTCCCCCGCCCCCCGGTTCTCCCTCAGCCCCCTCCCCCGCCCCCCCGGTTCTCCTGCCCGCAGCCCCCGCCCCCCGGTTCTCCCTCGGCCCCCCTCCTCCCCCCCAGCTCCCCGGTCCTCCCTCGGCCCCCCTCCCCCGCCCCCCGGTTCTCCCTCGGCCCCTCTCCCCCCCGTTCTCCCTCGGCCCGCGCCCCGCCCCCCGGTTCTCCCGGCCCGCTCCCCCGCCCCCCGGGTCTCTGCCCGCGCCCCGCCCCCCGCGCGTCCCCGCCCGCGCCCGCCGCCATGTGACGGGAAGCAGCTGATGGCCTCTCCGGGCGGCGGCGGCGGGCTCGGCGGGGCCGGGACCGGGGCGGGGGCCGGTGCGGGGACGGAATGAGGGCCGACGGCCCGGGGGGCTGAGGCGCCGGCCGCCTGCCGCGGGGCCGCGCGCGTCCTCCATGGAGGCCGGAGGTGAGTGGCCGGGGCGCGCCGGTGCCCGCCCGCGGGGCCAGGCCCGGTCTCCCGGGGTGGGGGCGGCTCGCCGCGCAGGGCGGACGCGGGGGGCGCCGGCCTGGACCGTCCGCGCGGCAGGTGGGGGTGCGCGCCGGAGCCCAGCTTTGTTTCACTTTCGCTGTCAGCGGCCGCCACCGCGTCCCCAGCGCCGGCCGGACCGGGAGGACGGGCCTCGGCGTGGCGGGGACCCCCACCCCCGGGATAGTGGGGGGCGGGGGGCCCGGGTGGGACTCGCGGTGCGCCGAGCCCTGAAGGGGTGATGCCCAAAGGGGTGGGTGCCCAGGTGCCAGGTGCCGCACTCGCAGGTCCGGGTGGGAGTCGCTGTGCCCCTCACTAGCTCTGCGGTCGAGGACGAGCCCCTTGACCACCCCTGCCCCCCCAAGTGTCAGTTTTATGTCTACAAAATGGTTAATAATAGTACCTGTCTCCATGGGTGCTTGGGAGCTTCCCAAACTTGCCTAGTGGTAAAAATGGGGCTTGGGATTCTTATATAAATATATATAGACACACACACACATATACGTAAAATATGTATGGAACACATATGATATGTATATTCCAGAGTGACTCGTAGAGGTGTGCTGGTCCCGGGTGACGGGTGTGACAGGTTACGTTTAGGGTAGGCTGATGGTGGAGGTACACACTCGCCCCGTTAACAGCTGTCATCAGAAGACGGCGAGGAAGTCGGGGAGTATTGGTTCTACGTCAGAGACAGCCGGGTGAACTTGCAGTCTCCGTGGGAATGGTGTCCTTGCTGTGTATGCAAAGGCAAAGCCTCTAGGACGGGTCCCTCCTCCCTTCCAACCACCAGGCCCCCCAAACCTCGCCGACATAAAAATGTGGTGTGTGTTTGGAATTTATTCTGGGAGGCCCAACTCCTGCGTGCACCCCCATGCTTAAAGGCAGCTTCCATAGGGGAAATTCTAAGAAGGGGTCAAGGCCTAGCTAGGGCTCAGAGTGTGTTCCGGAACCTCTTTGTATTCTCCTTCCAGTGAAGTTCAAGCTTCATCCTGGCCTGGAGGATTCTGATGGTTGACGTGTGCTTCCCTGGCTTGTTTGATGGGGCAGGGATTGTGGGTGGGTAGGTTGAAATCCCAGGATATTCCCTGGGGTGGTGTAACTTTTTAATTTGGGAAATGACATTTCTTTGTGTGCTGGAGTCAGGCATTCAGTAAAAGGTGTAGAGGCAGCTCTCTCTGCTTTCCCATCTAGATAAGGGCTTTCTTTCCAGTGACTGTTGCCCATAGAACTCTCTTTATAAATGGCCCTTACTGTTTGCCTGAATCTTATGTGAATCTTTTTATAGCTTCCGCTGTGGTTTTCATTGACTCCTTATAGTTAAATCTGAAAGCAGTCTGTAGCTAGCCTCCCATTTTAGAAGAATCTGTTTTCAGTTCAGGGTTTTTCCTAATGATTGACGGCTGTGTTTTGGGGTGTGGGCAGAGCTGTTGAGAGCTGCCAAGCTACTGTTTAAAAAAAAAAAAAGACCGAGAGTTTTACATTCTTTTAAAACTGAATAAAGCCTATTGTAATGGGGTTACAATGGACAACAGCAGATATCTTTAGAGCAATGGTTAGAATTCATTTATTCATTCAATAAATATTTATTGAGTGTCTGCTATGTGCCAGGCAGTCTGCAGTCTCTAGGTCAGCTCTGGCCAATAGAAATAGAATGTGAGCCACCGTATATCATTTGAAATGTTCTTGTAGCTGCATAGAAAAAGTGAAATAGGTGAAATTAATTGTAAAACTATATCTTTGTCAGTCCAATGTGTTTAAAATGTGATTTCAACATGTAATCATGATTACTGATAGATTTTAGATTTTTTTTGGTATTAAGTCTTCAAGATAAGATGTATATTATATACGTAGTCTAAATTTGTACTCATCACATTTTAAATGGTCAGTAGCCACGTGTGGCTGGTGGTTACTGGATTGGGCAGCACACCCGGATAGCAGCGTACGGACAGACGAGTTTAGGGTGGTTGTGGGGAAGAGATGGACAATACATACATAAAAACAAGTGCCATCAAGAAAAGATAGATGAGTGGTGGTTATAAAGAAAATTTAATGAAGTGAGAGGACAGTGACTGGGCCACTCTAGATAGCGAGGCCAGGAGGGGTTCTGAGAAGGTGACACCCAGCCCTGAATGGTAAGATGGAACAGCCGGGCAAAGTTCTGGGGCCCACTAGGCAGTTTTCCAGGCCGATGGAACATCTGATGTCATGATCCGGAAGCAAGACAAATCACCTTGCTTTCGTCTCTGTGTTAAGGCGAATCTCCTTTCTCAGACAAGGCCCACAGTAAATATCTTTCAGCCTGTGTGTCCATACACACCCCAGTGTTTAATTAGAAAACCCTGATCTTTTTCACCAAGAAGGGCCATGGCAGGTACCATCCTAGTTGAAGCTGGATCCTCTGAGCTCTCGTTTTTTAAGTTCTGCACTAATTACGGCTTTCTTTTCCAGCTGCCAAGTTTAGTTGGGGCCCAGACTCCCCTTCGGAATTTCCTTAGTTCTAGAAATGAAGAAGAGGCAGGAGTCACTGGGTTCTTTCTTCTTTTAGCTCCTCGACTCCTGAGCCTGAAATAGTAAGAGATTAAATCCCTAAATCACAGAAATAGAGTGTGAAATCCGGGTATGGCTCATGTTTTTAAGAAGCATTTCATGCGAAATGTTTGGCGTAGGCATCATAACAGTTGAAGGGGCTTCGTTTCATTTATATTTAAAGAGGTATACCATGTATGTTTATTCAGCAAATATTGACTGCCTGCCTGCTCTCTGCCAGGAACTCTGCTAAGAGCTGGGGATAAATGTACAAGGTCCCCGCTCCCATGGAGTTGGGGAAGATAGTTAATCAAATCACTGATTGTGCTGTAAAGAAAAGACAGAGAGGAGTTGTGAAGGAGATTGGCTTGGGGTCCGAGAAGGGCTCTCTAAGGAGCTGTCATTTAAGCTGAGACCTGAATGAAGAGAAGGTGCCAGCCATGGAGAGGCATTCCTGGGGAAGAGAATAGCTGGTGCAAAGGCCCGGAGGTTGGAACTATTTGAGCACAGTGAAGGGTGAGAAAAGGCTAGTGTGCTAGAGCGAGGGGCAGGGAGAGGAGAGAGAGAAGCCCAGGTAGGAGACAAGGCAGGGGCCAGTGCCGGCAGGACTTTGAGGGTAGGATGAGGAGTTTGTATTTTATACTGAGGTGAGGAGAATGGATGGCAGGGGCCAGAGCGGGAGTGGGGAGAGCATTTGGAAGGCTGCTGAGTGAGAGATACTGTTGCATAGATGAAAATAGTAGCCATGGAGATGAAGGGAAGTTAGGTTTGCCAAGTCTTTTGGAAACAGATTTGACAGAACTTGCTAATGGATTTGGATTAGGAGGCTAAGAGAAGAGAGAAATCAAGGATGACCCCTTTTCCGATTGTGTAGAGCCTTCATGGTGTCCAAAGGATGGACAGTGTGCCTGTGGAGGAGGTGAACCAACGGTAAATGTTGTCAGGGTGGAATAAAGACATTTTCATCTGGGTCAACTGAGGAAAATGCACCTCCGGGTCAGTGTCATTTAATAGTGACTACGTGCGGGGTCTCAGCCTCAGCACTACTGACATTTGGGGCCAGAAAATTCATGTTGGGAGGCTGACCTGGGCACTGTAGGATGTTTAGCAGCACCCGTGACCTCCACCCGTTAGATACCAGTAGCACCACCCCCCAGTTACAACAACGCAAGTGTCTCCAGACATTGCCGTGTGTCCCCAGAGGGGCAGAATTACCCCCCATTGAGAACTGCTGGGCCACATGTAGGAGGCATGAACAGATCAGGGCTGTGTCACCATAAGAAAATATCTGGAAGGAACTGTTGCGTGATTGCTGCGTAGCATTGAGTGACCTGTTTGGACTTAAAATATAAAGCAAAATATTCTTACCAAGCAAATACTCACATCCAGAGGAATATGATTCTGCAGACAGATAACGGTCTAGATGAAAGAGGACATGTGCAAACACAGATTTCTAGGAGGAATTACCGGCGCCTGTACAAATGCCCATTTAGACCTAAGATCTTAAAACCTAGATTTACATATAGAACCGCCGGGAATGACTGTAAAGGACACTTCTTTAAATAGCAAAGCCACCAAAGGCTTGGTATGATTTATTAAAATTCTATGTAAAGATAGAATGTTCAGCAACACTTATTTTCTAAAACAAGATATACCCATGTATTTTCCTACAATGCATATACCAGAAAATATTATATATACATATATAAATATTATGTACATATATGCACATATATACGCATCGTTACCATCTGTTGCACTGAATCCAAGATGCAGATCCTATTGCCATATGTATCACTGAGGAAGAAAATCCTGCCTGTTGAACTATGAAAAGTCAACACTTGTAAGACACATTCTGATTTCAAGGAGGTCAAAACGTGAGAAGACATAAAGAAGTGTCCTAAAATATATGAAATATGGGCTGTTTAAATTATTATTTTTAATCCTCACCCGAGGTTATTTTTCTATTTTCAGATAGAGTGTGGGGGAGAGAGAGAAACATCGATGTGAGAGGGACACATCCCCTAGTTGCCTCCCATATGACCCCAACCAGGGCGGGGGACGAACCACAACGGAGGTATGTGCCCTTGACCGTATTCGAACCCGAGACTCACTGGTCTGTGGGCCAACACTCTACCGCTGAGCCAAACCAGCCAGGGCGGGCTGTTTAAATTAGTATCTATCTGACAACAGCTGTAAAAGGGTCCAAGTCTCGAAACTGTTAAAGTGGAACATACACATCAGGAAGTGACCTCATTCAGGATGAAAGCCAGTTTTTATATTAGTATGTATCACCATCGTAGTGGACAGAAAGTTCGTTCTGAAGGCCTGTAACTTACAGGCTTCATCAGCCATTGAGAAACTTCCACTGGAGTAGAAAATGTAACCAGGGAACTGCCCTTCAGGCCGATGAGGAAGCACCCACCCAGCACCTACAAAGATGAAATCATCCGCTGTTTTTAAACAAGGGTGCTTGCTTATATTCTGGTGGGGGGTGGGGCAGGGGGAAATTGGCTACTACAGGAGAGAATGAAATAAGGGGCTCATTCTGCTCTGATAGTGTGAGATCAGGGCACACTGCTCAGTTGCTAATCTAGATGGGATTCTCAAGAGCAGAAAATGAGTCCCAGGTGGTGGATCTTGTGTGGCCAGAGCGTGGTGGTCAGGGAGATGCTGGAGCTGGTGTTGGGGGTGGAGCCCCGGGCTCAGCTGCCTTGACTGTGTAGGCAGGTGGAACGGAGTTGAAAGAGGTGGGGGAGATGAGAGGGGTGTTTTCATTTTAGCAGGGTGCCTGGGGACAGGAAAAGGAGTCGGGAGAGATCCGCACAGAATGGGATATGCAGGTTTAAGTGCGAACAGAGGCGGATGGAAGTGGGAGGCCACAGCGAGGTCGAAGCAAGATTCAGGGCAAGCGCTGAACATTTTATTTTAGCCTTGATGATGGGGAGGATGCACTGGGATTCGGATCGGACTTTTTTCACATTTCCCAGTAGCAGGTTCGTTTGAGGAGAATTGAAATACATTTGAAAGCCTCCTAATCTGCACCATCTAACGCATCCTTGCCTGGTCTGGTTCTCATCGGTCCGCTCTCCTTTCTTCCTCTTTCGGCATTCATAGGAAAATGAGGCCTCCAGTTCCCTGGGTTTACCTTTCCAAAGGTTACTGAGTCATGGTGAACCAACAGAGGGGAGTGCCAGAACTGAGTAACCGCAGAGGAATGTGGCCTTTGGCTACTGTGATTGCCCCAGGTCACCGAAATGACAATTCCCTCCCCGAGTCCCACCCTTTGCCGTGGGGAGACTGTGGCTTTCCTGTGTCTGAGTCGGGGCGGCGGTGAGGGAAGTGAGCGCCCGTCTGAAGCATGCTGTCTCCTGTCCCAGAGGAACCGCTGCTGCTGGCCGAACTCAAGCCCGGGCGCCCCCACCAGTTTGATTGGAAGTCAAGCTGTGAAACCTGGAGTGTCGCCTTCTCTCCAGATGGCTCCTGGTTTGCTTGGTCTCAAGGACACTGCATTGTCAAGCTGATCCCCTGGCCGCTGGAGGAGCAGTTGTAAGTACTCGGGTACCCAAAAGAACGAGGGAGTCCGCCCAGTGAGGAACGTGATCACTTACCCCAATTACTCCTCACTCTTGGGTCTTCCTGGCCCAGGACAGGAGAGGGGAAATGGCAGAACAGTTCAGGAATCGATCACGGGGGTTTCCAGAGCCCCACTCTCTGTACAGGCGAAAGTTAGTTCTGTCGAGGTTACATTAGCCCCAAGTTTCTTAAAACAGATTTGTCGAGATCTAATTTACCCACCATACAATTTGCCCGTTTAAAGTGGATCTGTCACCATGATTAATCTCAGCACATTTTCATTACTCACAAAAGAAACCACATCCCTAAGCCGGTACCCTCCAAACCCCTCACTTTCCAGGCCTAAGCAGCCACTAATCTACTTCTGGTGTCAGAAATGTGCCTGTTCTGAACATTTCATATTAATCAAATCATATAATATGTAGTCTTTTTTGGCTGGCTTTGTTCACTTCGCATAATGTTTTCACAGTCATCATGTTGATGCATGTGTCAGTACTTTGTGTCCTTTTCTTGCCAAATGAGATTCAATTGTGGGGAGATAGCACATTTTGTTTATACATTTATCAGTTGGTGGACACTTGGCTTGTTTTCACCTTTGGCTATTGCGAATAGTGCTGCTGTGAACATTTATGTCCAAGTTTTTGTGTGGACATAGGATTTCCTATGTTTTCTGTGTCTGACTGTTCGAGGAACTATCAGACTTTCAAAGTGGCTGCACCATTTTACAGTCCCACCAGCAATGAGGGAGTTTTTCAGATTCTTCACATCCTCACCAACACTTGTTATCCTGTCTTTGTGATTATAGCGTAGCCATCCTGGTTGGTGGCATCTTGATGGTACTGATGTTGAGCACCTTTTCATGGGCATATTGCCCTTTGTATATCTGCTTTGGAGAAGTGTCCATTCAGATCCTTTGCCCATTTTTAAATTGGGTATATTTCTTTTTATCATCTGCTATGTTTAGTTTCTTATATTTTGGGGTTACACAGGTAGGTCCCAGTGTCTGAATTCTGTGAGCCTCCGGAGTCAGACGGCCCAGCATTTGCATTTTTTCATCTGTCCCAGGGCAACTCTGTCTGCATTTACGGATTCAGCCAACATTTGTTGCCATCTTCTTTGCCAGAAGCTGAGCTAGGGGCTGAGAACCCCAAATAAATCAAACACAGCCTCTGCTCTTGAGGGTTTCATTTGTTTTGAAGTTTAGCCTGAAACTTGTTCCCTTGATAATAGGTAACGCTGATGAGAGTGTGCCGAGATGGGTGCTCTGTGCACTGCTGGGGTCCAGGGCTGCGCATTGGCACACTTCCCGGAAGGAAGGCTGTTTGCCAGTAGGCAGCAGAGACCTTACAAACGTTCTTCCAGCGATTAGGAATCTCAGGAATAGGATCATCTATTCACAGACGCTGATTTTCATTATAGAGTAGTTAAAAATCAGAAGCAGCTTCAAATCTGGTGATGAGAGAATGGTTAAGGATATTGTGGTATTTCCATATGTTTTTGCAACTGTCAAAGATGGTGTGTCTTTTTTTTTTATTATGATTTTCAGTTCCTTCTACGGTCATTTTAATGATAACGCCAAGGTCATTCATTGTTTATTGATCTATCTACCCACTCTAATTACAGGGGACTTAACTTCTCTTCCAGTCTTAAGTCTGATACAAATTTGTAGTCTGAAAAAGTTTTTAAAAAGCATAAAATGGCCCCGTTCCGGTGACTCAGTTGGTTGGAGCGCTGTCCTGTGTACCAAGAAGGTTGTGTGTTCGACCCCGTCAGGGAGACAGCCAGCCTTTCTCTGTGGCATCAGTGTTTTTCTCTCTCAGCCCCTCTCTCTCGGAGATCAGTCAACAGCCCTGATGGTCTGACTCAGCAGTTAGAGCTCAGCCCTCGGACCAAAGAGTCTCGGGTTCGATTTCGGTTAAGGGGCATACTTTGGTTGCAGTTCAAGGTTCAATCCCAGGCCTGGTTTGGGGGTCGTTCAGGAAGCAGCCAATCAGTGTTTCAGGAAGCAGCCAATCAGTGTTTCAGGAAGCAGCCAATCAGTGTTTCTTTCCCTCCCTCCCTCCCACGCTATCTAAAAATCAATGGAAAAATATCCTTGAATGAAGATGAGAAAAAATAAAATCAACAAACATATCTTTAGATGAGTGTTTTTTTAAAAGCATAAAATGAAAAATCCTGTTGTTTTCCTGAAAATCACTCTTGTATTTAAATATATATACTAGTATAGGTAAATATAGTCTTCTCATATTAATTATTAATTGCCTAATTTCCAAATTTTTCCCACATTTCTCTGTTATTTTTATAACTTAAAATAATTTTTTAAGTCCTTCAAAAAGGTGGGAGTCTGGGGCATTTATGTTTTTCTTAGGAATGTTACACATTTTTAAAAATCATGTTATACGTGCTTTTGATCCTGAACAAATCATTGATACTAACCAAATAATTGTACTACTTTTAGAAATAAAAAATTTCTTTAAACTTTAATTTTAGTGAGGTTCTCCCAGTGACTCCCCCGTGCCCTGTTACCACCTGCATGGTCGCGCCTCCCACCTCCTGTGTAACTTATCCTGATTCCTCGACAGGCCCAGAGGCCGGGGATCTGGTCAGCAGGAAGCCAGGACTTGGTTCTGGTTCCAGACCTGCCCCTGATTTTGGGACCCCCCCAGGACAGTCAACTCTACCCCTAAAATGGAGATTTTACTATCTCTTTCTAGAAAAATGAAGTTTCTGATATTAAAATGATTTACTATATTAATGTACCTTAATTTCTTTGGAATGAAGTAGCTATCCCTTAATTCAAATACAGAAATTAGAATTTTATAAAGAATAAAACAGCTGTAACTTTGGAGACCCCGAGCTGTCCCATAAAGTCTTCCTGTTGTCAGCCTTTGATGGCCCCTTCCCTGGGCGGCAGACTCAGGCTCGGGTGCCAGGGCCAGGCAGGTCTGCCGTGTGCGGCTGGGTGTGAGTTGGGCAGGCCCAATAAAAAAGATAAGCATGATCACATCCAGATGTTTTGTCAGAATAATAAAATTCCTGACTGTGTCTGGCCATGGAGACCAGGGGTCAGCACATTTTTTTCTATAAAGGTCCAAATAGTATGTTGGACTTGCAGCCTCTACGGTCTCAGCACTACTCCACGTTGCTGCTGTAGCCTCGAAGCCCCCACAGATAGTAGGCGAACAAATGAGCATGGTGGTGTTTCATTAGAACTTCATTCATAGACACAGGCTGTTAGCCTAGGCGTGGTTTGCCAGCCTCTGATTTAGACTGGGGGGTTTTAGAGCTGACGCAGCCTCCACTGGCTTGAAGTCCTAATTCCACGTGAGTTTGGTGAAAATGTTTTTGTATATTTCAACCACACTACTGACAAAAATGTGATTGACTTACTTTTGGGGAACAGATGAAATACAGAAAGAGGTTCAGCTACATATTCATGAACATAGGATTGCTCTTGGAACTGAGTTCCAGCTTGATCATCTCCATTTCCCCTTGTTTGATGTACCCTCGAGTGCGGTCAGGGTGCTAGAGAAAAGTAGGATTTCACACGTGCTCTGATACAGTACCACAGGCAGGAAACCTCCAGGTCTTCTGGCTGAACCTCAGGCTGACTAAATGCTCATGCCTTTGAGGTACTGTCTGCTAGGCAGGGTGGTGCAAGGGCCCGTGTTTTAGGGACCCAGTCCCCTTAGCTTACCTGGGCCTGTGTTTCACCAGAAGTGGAATGTGAAAGAGGAGAGGCAGGTTGTTTCATGCACCCCTGACTAGTCTGGGTTCTTTCTCTGTGGACTCTCCTGCCCATTGGTTCCTGGGCTGGACATAGCATCAGGAAAGTGAGCGAGAGAGCCTAAGTCATTGATTGGAACGTAGTGAGTGAAGGCAGGAATCAGTGTGTCCCAAGCAAAGTGTGTTGGCAGGAACGGGGTTAATGTCCCCGCTTCTTGGGAGTTTTGTAATTTAGCGGTGGGGTCTCCTCAGGCGGAAGCTGCAGCCGGAGATTCAGGCTCTAGTTCTGCCCTCTCTCCACAGCGTGCTTGCTTCCCCGTGGGGAGGACAGTGCATCTTTCCTGCACACCAGAACCCGAGAGGACGTTCTGAGGAAGCAGGCGGCCCCTGCGGCGTCTGTGATCCGGTTGCCCAAAGGCAGGTCACCCCATGGCAGGGCTGTCACGGGCCGAGCCAGGCCGGAGAAGCCTCCACGCACAGATTCTAAAGAGAAAAGTCATTCCCAAGGCCAGTTTGTTCCTAGGACTTGAAAGTCGGAGATACTCAGGATGAAAAGTTAGTTGACATGCTGACAATTTCAGACTCATTAAGAACTCTCTCCTTCCCCCAGCATCCCTAAAGGGTTTGAAGCCAAAAGCCGAAGCAGCAAAAATGATACAAAAGGGCGAGGCAGCCCAAAGGAGAAGACTCTGGACTGTGGGCAGATTGTCTGGGGCTTGGCCTTCAGCCCGTGGCCTTCTCCACCCAGCAGGAAGCTCTGGGCGCGCCACCATCCCCAGGTGCCAGACGGCTCTTGCCTGATCCTTGCAACGGGCCTCAACGACGGGCAGATCAAGATTTGGGAGGTGCAGACAGGTAGGTCATCCCTGGCTGGCACAAGGTCCTGGAGGCTTGTGTGCATGTCCTAAGTAGAGCTTGAAGGGCCACCAGTCCGAAGCCGGCTGAGGGGCGTGGCTGTGCCTGGCAGACCGGGCGCCCTGTCTCCCGCTAACCGAGGGCTCCTGCTTCCCTGCTAGGGCTCCTGCTCTTGAACCTCTCCGGCCACCAGGATGTTGTGAGGGACCTGAGCTTCACGCCCAGTGGCAGTTTGATTTTGGTCTCTGCGTCTCGGGATAAGACTCTTCGCATCTGGGACCTGAACAAACATGGTATGGAGGGGACGGGCTCCCGAGAGACTCCTGAAATACTGTTTGCCCCTGTCTACCTTGCCAGTGTCATTTTTACCCAGAACAGTGTGTCTCGATCTTTTTTTCTATTGCTTCTTTCGGAGCCTTTTCAGACATTTGTTTTCCTAATCACTCCCCCTCACCTCTTAAAGATTTTAATACTGTATTCATGTACTGAATGTGTGTTTACACTTTGTATGTAAAACAGGTCAGTTCCTTTTTGTTTACCAGTAGAACCAGTTGTTGCCGCTCTTGCTGTCACCTCCATTGAGAATACATGAGGTGGAATACCTTTGCTCTCCGTGGCGCTGTGGACATTTGGGCTGGACGACTCTTTGTGACGGGCGGTCCTGTGCATTCTAGCGTGTCGAGCATCCTTCCCGGCCTCTGCCCTCGGCATGCCAGTAGCACCCTCTATGGTCATGGCAACCAGAGTGTCTCCGGACACTGCCCCGTGTCCGTGTGGAGGGCAGTGTCTCCCCAGGTGGAGAACCACTGATCTAGGAGCAGTGGTCCATGTCGGGGGCTTCCTGGTAGAAACCACGTTCCTCTGTGAAGCAGAGTCTGGGTCTAGAACTCTCCCAGGCTAGAGGGCTCCGCTCCGAGCAGCTCTGCCTCGGGCAGGGTTAGTGCAGGAGACAGGAGGGAACGCCTGTCTCTGGCCTTGAGCCTTACCTGGAAGGTGACATAGGGAACGGGACTGGGTTGACAGGACGTGTCTGTGCCGAGGGCGGGGATGCAGGGCTGGGGGCGTGGAAGGAGGAAAGGGTGTGGGCAGTCCACGAGACACGGCGCCCGTCCCTGGTCCTGCAGAGCACTGGGACGCTGGCCTGAGCCACGACTTCTCCAGACCAGGAGGGGACCTGCCTGCCTCTCCCTCGTAGGAGTGAGCCCGTGACTTGCCAGAACATCTGAGGAGGTCCTCGTAGTGTCACCTGAAGGCATTAATCACCACGGGAACTCTAGTCGGCCCTTCCCTGTGGAGCTCGGAGTCGGCCAGGCCGAGAGGGGCCTGCTGCCCGGGAAGGCCTGAGAGGCCGCTGCCGTGGCCACAGGAGCTTGCTCCCATCCACGGACGTCCTCAGGTGGCTTCGAGTCACTGGAAACCGAGGGTGACAGTGGGCAGAAGGGACTAGACCGATTATTAGGGCTTTTCCAAGAGGAGGGGAACAAAGCAGGGTCCCCAGTCTGGGCCCACCCTGCACCACTTGCCTCGATTTACCCAGCGCTCGGTACCGCAGGGCAGAGCTGTCCCGGTGATAGCTCAGGAGACCGTGATGACTGCACACAACTTCCCCTTTACCCACACGCACCCATACATTCATAAATGACCATATTCATTTTAAAAACGTATTTTCCCTCTTCCTTTTGTTTTGGCTTGTTCCCACCCCCACCCCACCCCACCCCACGGCCCTCGACATGTCTCATCCTCGCTGTTGGATTCCTCCGAATCCCCTGTAATCTTGGGACCCACATTAAGTCTTTCATATCTCTTTCCATATTTTGCTTATACTTGTATAATTCTTTTAGGATACTCACACTCTTACATTTATGGGGTTTGGGGTTCTTGTTTCATAAGAATGGAATCATAATCTTCAAATTTTTTTGAATCTTGTTTTTTCTCATTAAAGATACTCCATGGAAAGACCTAGATGTTTCATTGTATGTGAGGTAACAGGGTGGATCTATCTGTTAACACCCTTCATTCACTCATGTCCCTGTGGATGGGCATTTTGTTTTTTCCAAAGTGAGACCTGGAGAGAGTCCGGGCGTGATCCCGGGTCACACGCTAAGGGCACAGTGGAGCCAGGGCTGCCCGAGCCCAGAGGTGTGGCCCTAGTAACTGTGCCATCGCTCATCCAGACACGGTGAGGGAAGTCGGGGGTGTGGAGGGGATCCCTGTGCTGCGGGCAGACATTACAGAGAGGATTGAAGATAAACACTCTCAGTTTGGAAGGATGTTTCAAAGTAACTGAGGTGGTGGGGAGACCTGGAAAGAGTGTTCTTTGCTGTCGAAGGGATCTGTCAAACCTGCCCTGCGTCCACCCTTTACCCTGATGGTCTCGCGGAGTTTGGTGAAACGGCAGGTAGCGCTTTTCCTTGGGTGTTAGATGATTATAGTAATAGATTTCAGGTATTTAAATGACAGCTTCTGTCATACTTCTTTCTCTGCATTAAAAAGTGGGTATTGGGCCCTGGCTGGTTTGGCTCAGCAGTAGAGTGTCAGCCCGCAGACCAATGAGTCTCGGGTTTGATTCTGGTCAAGGGCATGTATCTCATTTGCGGTTTGTCCCTGGCTCTGGTCGGGGTTGTGTGGGAGGCAACCAGTCGATGTATCTCTCACGTCGATGTTTCTCTCTCTCTATCTCTCTCTCTCTGAAGATAGATGGAAAAATATCCTTGGGTGAGGATTAAAAAAAAAAGGGTGTTGGAACTCAGTTGGTAGAGGACTGGGCGGACCTACTGGGTAGGTGGCCTGTCACTACCAGTTCCTCGGTCTTCCTGCTCTGTGGTTTTGAGACAGCTCACCGTCTGCCCCTTTGCTCTGCCAGGTAAACAGATTCAGGTGTTGTCGGGCCACCTGCAGTGGGTCTACTGCTGCTCCATCTCCCCGGACTGCAGCATGCTCTGCTCTGCGGCTGGAGAAAAGTCGGTACGTCTCACACCTCGGGTGCCACTTGCGCATTGTGTCAGTTCAGCAAGACCTGGGGGCCTGGCGCGGCTGTGGGTGTGAGAGGGTGACCGAGCCCAGTGTCCTCAAACCTGCCTGCACCTCAGTCCACCAGAAGACATGCTGGGGGCCAGAGCCTCCTCCTGCATGGTACCTCCCTTTTGATTGGCACTTCGACATGGACCAAAAGAGGAGGTGTTTCAGTAGACCGTGGCCATCGTCTGAGGCCTGTGTGTCTTTACAGATGGGAAAGGGGCCCTTTTACATTTCTTCTCCCTTTGGAATCTGAGATTTTAAAAGTTGCAGCCTCCAGATGGACCCAGACTTTCTTTGACCCATAGGATTTGTATCTACCCAATTCGGATTTCCATTTCAGGTCGTAAGCTGTACAGCTGCTTGTTGAACTTTGTCCTGAAATCCTGTTATTTTAAAGTTATTAGAAACCCAAGGACAATTTGGGAACAGTTTGTTGGTTTGAATTTTGTATCTGCATGAACCTGGTGGCTGCAACTGACTTGGGAAAGTTAAGAATTCATTAGTTGGTCCAGTCCAGCTGGTTTGATCATGCATTTGAGGTTTGGAACGATGGGAACGCGAGCGTTTTCTCAAAGGAAAGAAAACGAAATCCTGTTTTTAAGGATTCTCAGAAAGGTTGGAAGTGAGGAGCTGGGTCAGACCGGCAGCGGTGGGCAGATTTCCACGGCCCTGTGACACGTGGGGCTGTAAAATGCATGGTGGAGTACCACCGCTGTGTTGGCAGCCCTGGAGTTCACTTCTGGCCCATTTGTGGTTTTAAATGAAAGGACAAGACCTTTTCGTGCACACGTACTGCGTGTTTGCAGACAGGCTCAGAAGCAGAACTCGGAAGTCTCCACTGGTGCATGTTAGCTGGCAGCCTTCCTGGGGTTGGCTCCGCATATTCTTCCTTAAAGTACACTCCGTGAGCATGTCCATGGATTAGACGCCTCTAGAATTCAGACGGTACTTTGTTTAAGCATATGTGACGTGTTCTGGGAGAGCTGCAGGAAGGGGGGGGAGAACTTGGCTTCATCTGGCCATGGAGCCCTAAAGCCCTTTGTTCTTGCCCCTAACCCGGCACCTGCTACTTTCCACAGGTCTTTCTCTGGAGCATGCGGTCCTACACGTTAATCCGGAAGCTGGAGGGCCACCAGAGCAGCGTTGTCTCTTGTGACTTTTCCCCTGACTCTGCCTTGCTTGTCACAGCTTCTTATGATACCAACGTGATCATGTGGGACCCTTACACTGGCGAAAGGCTGAGGTCGCTCCAGTAAGGACCAGCTCCCTGCTTGACTTCCTTGTGGGGTGACTGATAGAAACCTGTCTTGGGTTAGACGTGTCCCTGTTAGAGTCCAGGGCATAGGAGGGGGCAACCTGGGTCAAAGACAGTGGGTTCAAAGCTTATGCTAAGGCTGGTGTACAGTAGTGCGTCCTTGTCAGTTATGTTCTCAAATTAGACCCAAGTGCCCTCAGCTCTCCTGCTAAATGAGACTACTTCTTTGGATTCAGCATTAAGAAACCTCAAAGTGACTCTTTTTTTCCATTTACTAATAACTGTAGTAACAAGTTCACAATGATCCTCTTACCGAAACTGCTATTTCCAAAATGAATTTTCATGTTCATACAAATGTGGTCTATTTTTCTCCTTTATCTCTGCTGTTTTATGAAGCAAATAATAGGTAGTCCTATAATTACCATGTATCTTAGCCCAAAAAAGACTTTCAGTTTGTACAGTGGCAATAAAGTGAGGGCTGACCTACTTTGCATAAGGAAACTAGCACTGGGGGTGTCAGTAACCCTGCAGCCCCCACAAGACACTTGGAGCCTTAGTAAATGCGCTTTTCTCCAGTCTTCTTTTCTAGTCTGCAAGTCCCAAGGTTTTCCATTTGGGGTACAAGATGCATCCTGAGCCTTTCCATAGCCAGGTAGTTCGGCCTCCTGCCTGGGGATGAAGGTGAAGGGCGGAGGGTGGCCACCACTCCTTACTGTTCTGTTTCTTTCTCCCCAGCCACACCCAGCTCGACCCCCCAATGGATGACAGCGATGTCCACATTAGCTCCCTGAGATCTGTGTGCTTCTCTCCCGAGGGCTTGTACCTTGCCACCGTGGCGGATGACAGGTAACAAGAGAATCTCTTTCTGTGGCCTCAGAGCTAGGGCTTGTGAGTCATGGTAGCATCTCCCCAGGGTCTGGCCCCACGTCTGCTAATGTGCAAACATCCTTTTCTTTCTCATCCAGACTCCTCAGGATCTGGGCCCTGGAACTGAAAACTCCAATCGCGTTTGCTCCTATGACCAATGGTCTTTGCTGCACATTTTTTCCACATGGTGGAGTTATTGCCACAGGGTATGTATCTGTTAGCTGAACAGATGGGCAGCAGTTTCTGCTGAGTATACCATGTGGCTTTTTAAGGAAAGCAAGTATTTAGAATTTTCTTGCCTGTGAGGAAGGCTTTAAGGAAATCCGCGATTACATAAAATTCTAATATTCTATTCTGCCAACATAGGTTATCATTTATGCTTAATATTTAATCTAAATGTAATTAAAGAGTTGTGATTCATGACAACTAATGGAAGGAAGTTCCTTATGCCTGCAAGGAAGCATAAATTAAAATGATGCAAAATTTATATGGAAACCATTCATGGTAGAGACCACCTTTCAGGGACCATCTATAATTCAGTAGGTGGTATTCTTCTCTCTGTTACTTTTAAGCTCATAGTGTGTTTTAGAAGGGGCTGTGCTGACAGGGCTAGCACTTCGGTATCAGTGTCTGGAGCGCTTATAAACCTCTTAGCAGCCTCCATTATTCAGCACCACGGCTTTTACACCCATGTCAGCAGCCAGGGTTACATTGCACTCCCTGGAGTCTCTTGCTAGCGCAAGCCAGAGTAGAAACATTAGTACTCATCACAGCGAAAACATGTTCCCGACGTCTGTCTGAATGAACCGCTTTCTGTTTCGTTTCAGGACAAGGGATGGTCATGTCCAGTTCTGGACAGCTCCTCGGGTCCTGTCGTCACTGAAGCACTTATGCCGCAAAGCCCTTCGAAGTTTCCTCACCACCTACCAAGTGCTAGCACTGCCAATCCCCAAGAAAATGAAAGAGTTCCTCACATACAGGACTTTTTAAGCAACGCTACATGGTCTTACTTTCTCTGCAGCAGGATAAATCTCCCTGGCAAAGGAGTAGCTGGAATAATGGGCCAAACATCTGGTCTTGGATTGGAATAGAATTTCCCTGTGGGATTGTGAATAGAATGTAGCAAAACCAGATTCCAGTGGACTAGTCATGGATCTTTCCCCCCCGACATGTGGAAGTCAGGCATAGAGGAGGGGATTCCACTTCTGTGGCCACAGAGCCCGACCTGAAATCTTCAGTCCACTTAGAAATAATTTTGAACTCTTGCTAGTAGTTTTGATTCCAGGTGCAGTTACTGATGTTTTGGTTAAGAAGTTGGCTAGGCCTCAAGAGCCTGAGGTAGCAGAGGGTTTAAATTCCTCCCAGGAGGTGTGGCCGCCGCCCAGTGCCTGCTGCTGTGTGGATGCAGCAGCGGCCTTGTTTCAAGTTCTCCCGTCAGATTGCATGGATGCTGGCAAGTCTCCCCCTCCAGCTCCCTCCGACCAGCAGGGGTGTGCAGGGAGCAGTCTCTGGCGTGAGGTGTTAACTTCTCTAGATCGCAGGTGGCTCAGAGGCTGTGCTCCTGACTAATACACTATAACTGGCTTCTTTTGTTTTAGACAGTGGTGTGCATGTGCAGGTGACAAGTTATATGCCAGGTTACACAAGGACTATTCCTAAACTGCATGACTGTTCAGGTGGCTGAGTTGTCAGTTGTTTGCCTTTCGTTAGCATATTTATTTGCATTTTCTCAACAGATGTTAAGGTACAGCTGTGTTTTTCTTGATGGTATCTAAAAATCATAGTACTAAGTCGAACAGTTGTGAGGTGTCTCCTTAATCGTGTAGACTCGGTGTTGTCATCACTTCAGCCGGTAGTGTCGTGTATGAGGTCTGACTTTGCTGCTGCATCTCAGAGGACTAATGAGCCAGTTCCAGCTCTACCCCTAAACACAGTAGCCCCTTAAAAGTACTGTTCTCCTTCAGTGACGCGTAGTTATCTAGTCAAGACACCTCATTCAAACAAGTCTGCCTTTGGAAAATTTAATATATTTTAAATTATTTTAAAAGAAATGCAACATCGTATCCTTCGGCTTGCTTACTAGGTGCTCTTTGGAGGCCAGTGTAGCATGAACCGTGTTGAAGAGGAGAGGACTCTCTCCTCCACCGCCTTTGTTGCTGAAGAAAAGCATCTCTTTTCAAGATGACTTTCATTGAAGGAAAAAGTTAAAAGCTTTTGGCTCTTCGTTTCATTTTTTCCATTAGAAAAAAAATCACCTTTAAAACAAGTGAGTACAACAGGACAGGCAGGAATGGATTGGGCAAGTTTTTAATGTTGTGGTTACCTTAAGAATCACAAGTCGTGTAGTCTGGGAGGCCCTGGGTGGCTTTCCTGAGGCCCCACTTAGCCACTGGCTTCAGACTTTGCTGGTGTTCTTGGGGAGCGAGTTGTGCTCGGATAGAAAAACTGACTTCTCCCTTTCGGTGGTGTCAGAATTCGACACCTTTACAAAGAACAGCCTCCAAAGTTGATTCCGTGGTGTCAGAGAGGAAGGCTTTCATACAGACCCAAGTTGAATAAATCAGTGTCTTCATAACTAAGGAAAGGAGTCACTTGTAACACAACCAACCATAAACTGCTTTATTTCCACATGAAGAAACGATAACAACAGCCTCACGGCTGCAGAGCTCACGCTGCGTCTGCACGCAGATCCCGGTGCGCTCGGCAGGGGGAGCTCTGGAGTCAGGCTAACCCATGTGCCCTCCCTGCATTACACACGTGAGCGCTGGGCAACTGCTGGCCCTGTGCTGTCACCAGAAAGTTCACGGCTGTCCACCAACAATTAGGAACCTGCTAGTAACTCCTCTACTTCAAGAGGAAAAATAAAACGACCAGTTTTTAAAGCAAGAGAATCGAGTCCATTCCGTGAGTATAATAGTTTGGGCCAGAAGTCGGTTAACACCTGTAAAAGCACAGACATGGACAGTGTCACAGGTTACACTGCACTTTGGAGATATCCTGTTACCTCGAGGCGGAGGACATGTGGGCCGTATTAGATCTGAAAGCTTTACCTGTGGGGTAGGCTAGCTTCCTCTCCCCCAAGCAACTAGAAAGGCTAAGAGGCGCACAGGTGAAAGAGGTGCTTGCTTTTTCCTCCTGTAGAACAGTGGGCAGTGCAGTAAGACAGTTTGGACATCTCTGCTCGGGACAGCCATAAGGTACTTTTTATATATCTGCCCACCCATGCCTGGGACAAGAATGTCCTAAGACCTGGGGTCACTGTGGCTTCACTCCCTGGCCCTGGGCAGCAGTTCGTCCCATGACCACGTCCTCTGCTCTCTAGTCACTTCGGGCCAAAGCCTGCAGCCCACAGTCCCAGTCAGCTTCTAGGCCTCGGAGACAATCAGGTCTCTGGTGACTTGAAAGGCTGCGATGAGGGAGCTCAGCTGAATCTTCTCATTGGTGCTAACAGAAAGTCTGTACCTACGTGAGACCGACAGGTAAGAGTGGAGAGCGTCAGACAGCAACCCTTCGACAAGAGAGCAGATCAAAGACTGAACGTCTGAAGGAGGGTTGGACGCAATAAAAATTTACCCTGGATGTCTATCTTGTGTGTGTCCCCTAACACTGTCTTCTCTGTCCTAAACACTCATAACTTTTCCTCACCAGTTTGAAGGAAAAATCAAGTCTAAAAATTGTTAGCAGTGTTCTGAACTTTGTTGTAGCTCTACAGAGATATGCAGAATTTTATGTGATTAAGGACTATTTCTTCACCTACAAAATGTATTGAGACATCACAATGATTTCCTTCCTCTTCATTCACTGGGAAGTTTGGGTGATACATCTGTGGTTCTGTATAGTCAGTAAAGCAGGACACCGCCATGTCATCTTGCCACCTTTTAAGTGATTAAGCTATTGAAAGCAAAACCGTGGCATTCATTCACAGTGTAGTGATCAGAAGTCACCTCATTTGTACATTTGAAAACCAATGGGGGCAAATTAGAGTTGGCCTATGTAGACAGTCTTGCCTGTTTAAATGATGGCTGCCAGCGTCACTGGGGGCTAGTAACTGCTTACTGCACAAGGTGAAAAACTCGGTTTCTTACACCCCAGTACACTTGAGTATGCCAAATGCCCTGGCAGCTGGGCAGCGGACTGTCCCCAAAGACCTGGGGGTCCGCCCTGAAGGAAGCAGGCCTCCCAAACAACAGCATTTCCGGGGCCCATGTGGACCAAGCCTCTGAGGTTTTTACTGCGTTGTACCTGTCTTTGTGCTTGTTCGTGTTCTCAAAATAAGCATCTCACACCTTTGCCCATGTTTCATCATTAATCCCACCAAGCACTAGATCGTAACTGTATAGGAATGATTTGGACAAAAATTGAAACCAAGCAAGTACAAACCACAGCGGAGAGGAGGCAGGAATGAGAACTGGGAAGTGATACTCACTCGATGTCGGCCATCTTAGTCAACAAGTGGATTCGAACTGAAGATGGAAAGTCAACTGGGGGAAAACAAAATCAGATGAGTGATGTCTGTTGTTCCCTACTCTTAAAAAAAGAACCCAGAAGACGAGCATGAGTTTAAATAGCAGATGGATTAACCCTTTTTCTGTGGCCTCAGATCACTAGCTACCACACCTCTAAGGCAGTAAAGCTGGGATAGGTTTTCAGTTTTATCCACTCCCACTGCGAGACCCGTGAGCTCCTCTCCCCCAAATGAGATTCCAGGGTGACCACGAGAACACGGAGGAGTCTCCAACGCTGGTCTTTCAGCATCTGGGCAGCTCTGCAAGCTAATGTAAAAGCTGTTCTCCCTGGCTGTCCCAATTTTAAAAACAAACATGAACTATTGATTTTTAAAAGTCAATTTATGCTCGCTTTCACAAAGTGCAGAGCTGGGCTTGAGCCAAGCATGTTCTCGGGCAGACGTTAGCCAGCCAGCCGGGAAGAGACAACCCTCACGGACCCACTGCCTGTGCAGGTGGCCGCTGAGGAGGAGGGGCCTTCTCCAAACGGCTGCACATAGACCACACGGACAGCCTGAAAATATGGGTGCCTCGTTCTCCCCAAAGGCCAACTGAGCTGGTGGGGTGATCCCTACGTGCTGCCAAGGCTGAGAACCAAGTCCGTGCAGAGGATGAGCCTAGCGTGGGACTTCGGAGGTTACTTAAGACTACTTCACTTTCCATGACAATAGAGCCTCCTCCCTGTCCTTTTGGGGAAAATGTTCTATTAGAAATGTGAATCAAAACACTACTCATTGCTGTAAAATACATGCCCTTGGAGGAAATTAAGTTACTTCAGGAGTTTCTTTCCACTCTCCCCCCAGCAGTTCTAGGGATTCAAAGACTATTTTTGGAATGAAGTTTTAAATAACAAAGCTAAAAATGAGGGGTATGGTTTATACTTCTTCATTCCTGTTTCTTTGCTTCAAAAATGAAGCCTCGTGTTCCCTCTCTAACCACCCCTAACCCAAACGCATGCCGCCTTCTGCACAGCCTCTGAACTAGGGGGTGCTGGGGGTCACCTCTGTGCACGAACAGGTGGATCTCCGTCAGGATGTCGTGTAACGCCAGCCCCTTCAGAGTTTTCAGCTCCGTGATATCTGGAGAGCAGCAGTTAAGGCAAAGGGGTAAGTTCCCGAACAGACGTGCTGCAGGGAACTGGGAACCCATCCCTGGCGATGGCTTTAGAGAGCCGGGCTTCTGATCTCGGTGTGGTGCTTTCAACCCGAAACTGCGCATGTTGAACCCCAGTTCTCATTTTTCCCGTTTTCATCTTCAGTAAGGGCTTTCTAAAAGATGTGCCTGTCTGGTGGAGAACAGAACCACATGCATTCCCCAGAAGGCTTCATAGTCACTGCACCTGGCTTTCAATTTCACAGCAAGAGTCACGGGGACGACGAAAATGACTGACTGCATCCCCCGACCCGAGGTCTAACTGCATCTCCCACCGGGAGTAAGTGGCTTCACGCTGCACCCAGAACAGAGCCCTTCAGGAAGGACCCTGGGGCACTAAGGACAAGTATCCGCTCCACCCATAGCCCCCTGTCTTGCCAGCAGGGTGGAGGTGCTGGCCGCAGCTCCCGGGGCCGAGCGCAGGCCAGGAGAAAGGATACTTCTGTAGGCTGTGGTGAAGTCTTGATTCAACATCCAGTCCAGAATGTTGGCGATGTCTGACTTGAGCGGGTGCCCGGTGCAGGTGTACACGGTCTCCTCTGTCACCTTCCCAAAGGCCATAGTGGTACTCTGCAGACAGGGAGAGAAGCGCGGCGGCTGTCACGGCGGCCGCCAGGAGGAACCGCCGAGGCGGCAGGCAGGTGGGCTGCCGAGGCACGAGGCACAGGCGAGCTGGAGCCCGGGGTGGGCCCTGGCAGAGCTGGGCCTTCTCTGCGGCTGCCGCTGGGCCACGGTGCAGCTGCAGAGCCTTCCCCGATCCCCTCGTTCACAGCCCGTTCTTCCGGTCCATCAGAACACACAGGTGCGGGCGAGCTTGGGGATGGGAGGGAAGGCCGGGCAGGCCCTAGATTTCTGAATTGACACACTGGTTGTGCTGCCGCTTATGCATTTCTTGAAGAACCATCCCAAAGCCGCGACCTGAGACCCGGAGGAGGAGCGCTGTACCTGCAAAATGTTCAGAGCCCGGCGCATGTCTCCGCTGGAAAGGGTTACGAGCGCTTTCATCCCATCTTCACTTACGTCCACTCTGAAAGGAAGCGGGCAGAAGGGATTGAGAGGCCCCGAGAGCCCGGCATTCACCAGGGGAACACGATGGCCTGGAATGATTAAGGTGTCGAAACAGTGACAGAAAAAGGAAGGACACAGTTACCTACTCTCCTGACCTAGAGGACCTGAACTTCACTCCGGTCTTTAGGGCGACAGCTTCACAACAGTATTTACAGCCCACTCCAAGTCTAGAGGACCCTTATTTAGGAACAAGAATTGCTACGCTGAGCAACTGGCTCTGAACCACGTTTCTGGAGGGAAGGCCACTGGGAGGTGTGTGATCAGTCGAAGCGCCTCCTTTCAGATCCCGGCAGTTCGGGTCGGCCGCGAGCTCGGCATCTGATTACACAGCCTGGATTATCTCAGTACCTTCCCTTCTGGGCGGAAAAGGCTGCAGGCACCCCGGCAGAAGGGACTTGGCAGCATGCTGTTTGCAATGACAAAAGAGGAGGAGGAGGAAACTGGGACAGCTTCCAGGGGAGGAGAGGGATTCAAGAGAAGAGCCAAATGACTTTTATGAAGAATGTCCGTCACGTACCAGGGAAATGGCAGCAGCTAACAGACCCTGATGCTGGGCACTCCGCTAAGTTGTTGACAAACATCACCTTTAAATGCAAACCAGCCGGTCATCCCTGAGCCCTGCTTACACCACACTCAGTTGCCGAGACCCCACCTTCCCTGCTTTTCAATTACTCACTTCTCTTCTTCAGCGACATGTTCCAGGCGTGGAACCATGAGTTCAGGGGTCAGGGGACCGAAGCGGAACCGTGTACACCGGGACTGCAAGGCGGGGATGATCTTTGACAGATAGTTACAGATGAGGCAAAATCTGGTATTTTCAGTAAACTTCTCAATCACTGGCAAGGGAAAAGAAAACCACCTCCTGTTCATGCTGATTCTTCCAAGGACCCAGAAATCCTGAACTTTTCAATGGTCACATGACTGGTACAGAGAACAATGTACCAAGAAGAAAGCAAACAGGTGGGGATGCTAATGTAACTTCAGAGGGTGTCACTGGGTGGTCAGGACGGAAGTCACCTACTCTTTCTAAAAGCTGACCAACCTGTCACCTGCGTGGGATCTTATAAATGCTTCTGTAAGGTTCACCGTGATTCCTGTGCTCTTGCCCCTCCGTTCCATTAAGATATGAGATCCTGTATTCCTGCTCTTTTGATAAAATTCTCGTTGGCAGGTTGATGCTCCACCTTCTACTGGGTGGAGTGGGGGTGGCTTTTTTCCGACTCTCCAGTGGACCTTGTCTCAAAGCCTTAGAGCATTAAGGAGAGCAATGACCTGGATTCAGAGACGCTTATAACATCAGTTTCATTCGTTTTTTGCACAGCAGTCTGCCCAGGCTGACAGTCACTGCAGAACAAGATGCCCAAGACAGACTGCCAGAGCTTCTAGGACCAAAGACTCCCGTCTTCCTCCTCCTCTTACACAGGGCTGCAAGCCACTCCTTCTCCCTAGAACTAAACATCATCCTTTTCTTTTAGCCGATTCCTCGGAATCTTACTGAGATCATGACTGTCCTTTCAAAGACATTAACTGCCCCAGGCCCCCAAGACAGACAAACCACAGGATTCTCTCTCCCTTTCCTGCCAAATCCTTTACTTGGCAAGTAGTGAAGTACTGTCAGCTTCCTGAGTGTGACTAAGTTTCTGGAATTTTCCTGGCTATTTTGTACCTAAGGGTACCAACCACAGAATGCCCAACCAGTTTAGAAATGAAAAACTCCAAAACGTTCCATCAAGTGATACAAAATTCCCAATCCCGACATTGAAGCCAGCTGCCCAGGAGCAGGAGACACCAGGAGTCCCCACAGGGCGGCCTTTAAGCTGTTTAGAGGGGAAACCCCTGCAAAGGAGACAAATGTCTCCATCGTCAGGTGGGATACATGGAGAAAGGTAGTTTTCTCTGGGCCAGAAATAAATGAAAGTTGAAAACACGCCATGTCGTATCTCACGCCCAAAGTCCCTGGTTCTCCTTCGGACGTGTCATCGGCCAGCAGCCTGCACGGAGCCCCCCTCACCTCTCCTCAAGGCGTTCTGGGCGTCCTGCGTCATGGCGTCGGCCTCGTCCAGGATCACCAGCTTGAAGCCTTTCCTAGGAAGACAGATGGCGCCGTCTCAAGATTTCCTCCCGCCTCAGCTTCCAGGTCCAAACCTACATCTGCCCGTTTGTACCATCAGGCCCTGTTTCAGAGCCCATTTCTCCCGAGCTCTGACCAAAGCAGACAACTGCGGTCACCCAGAGGAACGCCCGTCACCCCTTCAACCCTTCGAGCAGCGGTTCTCAACCTTCCTGAGGCCGCGATCCATACCGTCCCTCACGATGTGGTGATCCCCGACCATACAATTATTTTCGTTGCTACTGCATAACTGTAATTTTGCTTCTGTTGTGAATCGCTATGGGAAATATGTGTTTTCCGATGGTCTCAGGGACCCACAGGTTGAGAACCGCTGCCTTCAAGGGAACTGAGGTTCGGCTTACGGCACCTTCATCTTTCTTCCACAGTACCCTGCTGCTGGGTGTCCCCACCTTCACTCACTCCTCTCTTTATACCTTTTTGTTTTGTTTGTTTTGTTAATCCTCATCCGAGGATAGAGTGGAAGGAGGGAGGGAGAAATAGCGATGTGAGAGGGACATATCGATTGGTTGCCTCCTGCATGATTACCTGGGGCCGAAGACTAAACCTGCAACCCAGGTACATGGTCTTGACCAGGAATCGAACCTGTTACCCTTTGGTCTGTGGGCCGATGCTTTCACTGCTGAGCCAAACCAGCCAGGGCTTTTTTTTTCAAACCACCATCCTAGTCTCAATTCATTTTTTTTCTAAATTCCAACTAGCTCATCCAGGCTTAGGATGTAATCGGTCCTCAGTTAATTAATAAAATGAAGTTAATGCTTCCCCAAAGAATTTGCTAACACAGACTTAGATAACATTTTATTTCAATATTTACATCTTAATATATTTTACCACCATCCCTGCACTTTATCTCTTTTTCATGGCTGCTTCTGACAAAGTCTTCCCCCCACCTTTACAAACTGGTAAAGGGGAAGATGAAAATTAAAAAAAATTAAGCTCTATGATCTCACTGATCAAAATCTCTAGGGAGAGAAATTATGCAAATATTTCTTACTTAAATATCGTCCTTGTGCTAGCAAAGCTCAGGATAGGCCCCCGAACGATATCTATTCCTCTGTCGTCTGAAGCATTCAGCTAAATGGGAAGAGAGAAGCCAGATAAATAAAACACGTCGGTGTACTACTTATGAACTAATGTACCTTTTCACCAATCTAGCTCGGCAAGCTAGGTCTCCAAGTCTAAGGACAGCTAAGAGATAATCACTACTCAAAAAACAAGAGCACATTTGTGTTTAAAACTCACAGCTGACTAGATCACTACATCCTGAAAAGCAAAAGACTGATTTTCCTCCCCCGTCGAGGACAATCACTGACATCCTCTGGAGGAATAATTAATTGGCCTGGTCTCAGCGAGCAGCACCTCTGACTTGAGCAGAATGATGCTAATTTTAGCTATCACAACCTAGAGCAACCCAGAAGTCACCACGTTTTTAATACACGGGGGTAAGAACATGTGTGGCAGCAAGGTTCTAAGATCTCGAACAAAAAGAACATTTTCTTGCAATCAACAAGATTCAGAATTTAGTAATCTAAGTGTACTAGTCCAGTCCCAGCAGAAGACAGATGGCACGCTCAAATTCAGTACTTGGAAGAGAATTACATGAAGGTGTTGGCGGGATGTAGGGAAACCACAAGCCTATGCAATACGTGAGGCAGGGACTACTGGGTTCCATTACCACCCAAGTCTTAGGGGTTAGTGGGGAAGTGGCGATGCCACCTGGAGAGGGCAGTGTGATTCATGTGCCCTGTGGCTGGGGATGTTGTCGGCCTATGGTCGCCCCCAGGGCAGGACTGGGCATCATTCTCCTCCCCCATCCCCACTCCTGCCAGGGCCTTTATTGGTCAAACCTAACCAGGAGCCAGAGGGCAAGGGAGCTTGTAGTGAATACAGCTCAGCCTTTAGGGACGAGAACCCACAGCAGCAACGTGGAGAAGCCATCTGGAGGGGCACATGGAGACAGCCAGCAACTGAGCGACTACTCACCGAGCGATCACTGAGTATTTGGGTCCAAGTTGGCAACAGCAAAGAAAAATACCTACCCTACAACTGCCTTCTAGCTAATGCCGATCCAGACCAAAATGTCAATTATAGAAAAAAGTGAATTGAAATATTTTATGTCTGCTCCTTTCCTAACCACCAGCAGGACTACTTGTAAACTAAAACAAAACTAGCAGAACTAAGAGACTGCAGTCACTTGTCAAATCAGAATAATCCTATTTACCTCCAAGACCATGGAGCCAAATTCTTTATCTTTGTACAGCTGTTTAGCACAGGCTAGGATGGTGGATGTCTTTCCTGTCCCCGGAGGACCATAGAGAAGCAGGTGTGGCAATCTATCTTCACTGATAAATTTTTGAACTGGATTAGGAAGAAAGGGACACCATCAGCTTCTGAGAGTTGCCTCATTCACAGTGGGCCCTTACAGGGCTGAATGCATGGCAACCCTACGTTTAAATGAGAGGCAGATGCAGGACTAAAAAACCTGAAGGATCCAACTCTTACAGCAACATCCCATAAAGCTCAATCAGATTCTTCAAAGCTATTACTCAGCAGAAACAACATCACCAAGAAAGTTATACAGATCCTTCAAGTGGGATAACAGCAACCGGCACGTGGATGCTTACTGGTACTCAAAATGTCCTGATGAGAGATGAGATCATTCAGTGTCTGCGGTCGGTATTTTTCAACCCTGAAATACAATTTAACATGGATCAATCCACATATAAATGCAAGACATTTTGTTATGTACAAAAGAATCCTTTCATATCCTGAATAAAAGAGGAAGAGAAACAAAACCCTTTAAGTTTAAATAGAGAGCAGTGGTTCTCAATCAGGGGCAATTTTGTCCTCCAGGGAACTAGACAGTGGGATGGTTGTACAACATTCTGAATGTCCTTAATGGCACTGAATTGTACCCTTTAGAATGCTTACAACTGTCAATTGTATGTTACATGTTTTTAAGATAAAAACAAACAGAATTTATTACTAGTCAAGAACAACTTGGAGTTTTCTGAAAGCAAGTCAAATCCCATCAGTCTTTAAAACATGAGAACATAGTAGTGGAAGTCAGATTGGTAATGAATACAAGCTCTGCATTCAAACCTTGGGTTCAAATCCAAACCTATTTCCTAGTTCTGGGTCTTATGCAAGCCGTTTAACCTCTGGGCTGGATTACTCCAATTGGGAAACTGTAATAATAAAGAATACCCACCTGCTAGGGTCTTTGTAAAGATCAAACATCTAACAGGGTGCCTGCTAATCTAACGGAAGGCCATTTAAATAAAAGTTAGAGCGTGTTATTATCATTGATATTTTAGTTTAGAATTTGACCGATAGTCGCAGGGAAGATTTTGGCAAGAGCGAAGAGGACATCTTGGCACGGTGGCCAATGCGACGTCTAGACGCAGGATCAAACCCACGTGCTGTCATCCAGGTGCGAAAGCCGCTTTCCTGGGCGGTAAAAGGAATGGCGCCGGTGGGGTGGGGAAGACAAAAGTCCTAAGAACCGAAGGGGGTTGGAGAGCTGAGGGCTGCGGGGAAGAACATCTGTGGCTCCGCCCCGGCCGCAGGTGCAGGAGCGCCGGGGCGAGGTCCGGCTGGGACCCGGCCGCTCGCCGACCCCGACCACCGCCTCCCCGAGAGGCCGACCCCCTTCCCCGCCAGAGCCGGGCCTCCTCCTACCAGGGCAGGTTCCTGATCTTGGTCGCCGAGGGCTGCTGCTGCTGCTTGTGCGCTGAGGTTTCCATGGCGGGGTGACGAAGGTGTCCGAGTCCACTGGGGTCGTTGCGTGCCCAGGGGTCTGCACAGACCCCAGCCCCGATCGACGCCTGGGACCCTCGCTCTTAGAGTTCGCGCGCAAAAGTAACTCTCGCGAGATTTATCCGCTGTTTCCGACTTCCTCTCTAGGTCCCGCCCCCTCTCTGTTGCTAAGGCGCCGGTTGCCTGGTTACCGCGTAGCGCGCGCCGTCAGCTTCCCTGGCGCTGCCCTTTCTCGGGTGCTGAGCGCCTTCCCGAGCCCAGTGACACGGGCAGCAGGGACAGGCAAGGCCACCCCTGCAACCGCCAGTCGTCACTGCGAATTAAAGCCTCACGGCCTGAGCCAACTGCAGGCAAGTTCAAACGCTTGCCGTTCAAAGGAACAGAAAGCTGCCAGCGCTAAAAAACCCGGAGGAAAGAAACATCCCAAAGGACACGGCCAGTTCTTGAATATAGATGTTATATGAAAACAGCCTCGAAAACCCTTTAGGCCCCAATGCTGCGAGGTGAGTACTCCGAATAGAAAAGCATCTCCAAAGAAACACAGTTTCAATGTGTCCCCAATCCATGTCCCTCACCCAGCAAAATGTAGAGAACCCACCTCTAGAGACAAGTCCAGAGTCAAAACAAAACCAAAACAAAAACCTTCCAGTTCGGTGAATATGTGTAACTGGAAAGGGCCAGTTCATAGGCATGCAGACAGGCTCCCTACGATTTCAAGACAAGAGGGAATTGCTATAGAAATTTTAGTGTTTTTTTTTCCTGAGGTGAGGGGATTCTGGACCACTTTTATTTTCTTCTATTTTGCTGGTCTGTATTTCTCAGCAACGAGTGTCTATTACATCCTTAATAAAGTATTGTTGTTGCTTTTACTCGTTGAGAAAGAATATTGGGAGGTGAGGCTGGCCTGGGGTCATCATGTTCCGAGTCAGAAGTAGCTGTAGCGGCTCCTTGCATCTTATTACATTACTCTCACCTGCTTTAGGAACAGAGTAGAGGGATAGTGGACAAATACACGGTGGCAGCTGTGGCTTCACCCTAGCTCCTGCCTGGGGATTCAGAAGAAGGGGGTCAGATGTGGCTTCTGGCATGACAGTGCCCTCGTCTCTGCTTCCTCCCAGGCCAACTCGAATATAGTTGTTCAGATCATTAGCCACCACTTTCCCCACTTAGCGTAGGGCAGGTGGCTTCTCCTCCTCCTTCCACAGTCTCTACCCCAAATGGTTGTGAGGAGTAAATGAAATACCATGCGGCAAGCATCCGGCGCATTGCTACCTTCTTTCTCTTTCCTTCTAACCATCTCTCCGCTCCCCCTGTTCTCGTTTCCAATGTTTCCTCTCAACCAAAACCTGAAGAATTGGCTGGTGTGACTATGCCTATGAGAGTTAATTTTATGTTACTTTCAGGGTGAGTTGAGGGTGTTTCTGAAAGAGACTGGCATTGGAATCGGTAGACTAAGTAAAGATCTTCTGAACCAATGTGAGTGGGCATCATCCAATCCGTTGAGGGCCTGACTAGAACCAAAAGGCAGAGGAAGGGTGAATTTGCTCTCTTTTTTGAGCTGGGACGTCCATCTTCTTCTGCCCTGAGACACCTGTGCTCTTGATTCTCAGGCCTTTGGAATCAGACTAAATTACACCTCCAGTTTTCCTGGGTCTTCAGCCTGCAGATGGTAGATCGTGGGACCTCTTGGCCTCCATAATCACATGAGCCAATTCCTAGAATATATAATGTAAATATCTATATAAATATGAATGTGTAAAATATTTAAAATGTAAAACACGCGTTATATAGATATAATATATAATTATTAATAAATGATGTCATATAGTAATAATATACATTTATTGGATAATATAGAATGTAGAAATATATTTTATTTACTTATTAATTTTTAATTCTTCACCTGAGGATATTTTTCTACTTATTATCAGATAGAGTAGGAGGGAGGGAGAAAGAGACAGAGAGAAACATCAATGTGATAGAGCCACATCGACTGGTTGCCTCCCACACAACCCGACCAGGACCATGGACAAACCACAGCCAAGGTACGTGCCCTTGACTGGAATCGAACCCATGACTCATTGGTCTGCAGGCTGACACTCTAACCACCGGCCAGGGCTAGAAATATATTTTAAATATAAGTGTAAATATAAATTATACACACATATGTATGTATATGTGTGTGTGTGTGTGTGTGTATATATATATTTAATTTTTCTATTGGTTCTACATCTGTGGAAAACCCTGATAAAATGCCATAACTTGGGCTTATTCAGCCACCATGGTAAGACCATCTTACTAAGGGGCCTTTGCATGAGAAACGATGCCACCACTCCCTTGAACTGGAAGATGCAAACAGGGCTGGATCAAGTTCTCAGAAAACGCCGTGTGCACCTGCTGTTCAGTGTGCTCGGAACACAGCACTCTTCTGTGTGACATTATGGATTTACACGGTTATTGTGTGCCTCGGCAGTGGACCATAAGCTCACTGAGAGGCTAGGCTTTGACTTATTCACCACGATACTCTTGGTGTCCGGAACAGTGCCTGGCTCAAAGGAGGCACTCAGTTTACAATTGTTCAATGAATGAATGAATGAATGATAATAGTCAATATTCATTAGGCAGTTACTACAGGCCAGACACTGTTCTAGGTGCTTTATGTTTATTATACTCAATGGTTGTGATAAGCCCAAACTAGTATCACTGGTCCCACTTGGGACAGGGTGTGAGGAGCAGAACTGGATCTTACCAAGGTAGTGTGATTCTATAGCCTAAGATCTTAGCCACTATGCTAGCGTGGTCCTTGGACCAGCGGCAGCGTCCCATGAGAACTTGTTAGAAATGTTCATTATTCTTTCCCCAATGCCAAATCCACTGAACCTGAAACTCTGGGGGTGGGCCCAGCCAGCTGTGTTGTAACAGTCCTCCGGGGGATTCTGAGGCGCTCAGACCTGCGAATCACCGCCCTACACTCGACTGCTTCTCAGCCCTGAGCTCCGGGACTTTGCTTTCTAAGAAAAAGAACGGGTCTCCACATGCATGTTCTGGGAGAACGAAGGTGTCCTGTTGAATGTCATTTGTGTGTGTGGTTTTGTTAGTTTATGATTTTGCAATTATTGAAGGTATAGTCTTTGGGGAAAATTATTTAGTATCTCTTTGGCCCTCAGTATTGGCACCTGTAAAATGGGTAGGGGTGGAGGGCTGGGTGAGAGAGAGGGGTCACATTGAAAGTACCTGGGGATTTAAAAAAATCCCAAGGCCATAAATCCAGCCACACCAATTAAATTGGATCATTTTATTCATTAAAAAAAATGTTTTTTAACCTCACCTAAGGACATTTCTGCATTTTTATCTTCAGATAAGAGCGGTAGGGAAAAGGGGGGGAGGAACACAGAGAGAGAAACAACGATGTGAGAGAGACACATCGATTGGTTGCCACCCACATGACCCCAACTGGGGCCGGGGACAAACTGCAACTGAGGTACGTGCCCTTAGCGGGAACCGAACCCAGGACTCTCTGGTCCACGGGCTGACGATCTAACTGCTGAGCCAAACCGGCCAGGGCCAGCATTGGCATTTTAAAATAGCCTTCCAGGTTATGCTAATATTCAGCCAAAGTTAAACTATAGACTAAGCCGATCACAGCAACCCTAGGTCCCTGGGTGAGCATGTGACCCTGTTCTGCCCAATGAGATGTGAGGGGAAATGGGGGGAGGGCAGCTCTAGGAAACTTTGGTATTTTGCTGATCCTTGCTAAGGGTGATTTTTAGCCTCTCTTCCAGCGCCCAAATTCTCTCACTTCAAAGAGAAAGAGAGAAACGAAGACCAGGGTTACAAACTCACAAGTCTATAAGCAGCCGGGAAGTTAAGATACAAAGGAAGAGGGTTGGGTGGAACTATGCTCAGCCTCAAGGAGGCAGAGTTTGCAGATGGAAGGTTGAGGAAGAGAGGAATGTAGCAAGGAGATGTTGAACAGCTTCCAATCAGCAGCAGCAGGCTGGAGAACCTGACTTGGCAAATGGAACTAAAACCATGGTCACAGTTGGCCAGGCCTGGGTCACATGCTAGTGAGTACCCGGTATACGCATGAATGATGGGAAAGACATTTACCTCCCATCCAGCCTTGAGAATGGAACACTTCCTGAACATAGGAGAGATGTTCAGACGCTCGTGGCCAAAGGACCACAAATGTCCACTACACCAATATCCAGCCACTTGGGAGGCAGCCAAATGTTGCCAGATCTTCTAATTTTCCAAGAGAAACCAGAAATTTGGGGTTTGATGTGAAATTCCTGTATTTGAATGTTGGCAACTAGTTAAAAGAAAACAAAACTGCTGGCCAAAGAAAAATACTATAGGATCACTTTGGGACTTTTGATATCTCAAGGACAAATGATCAGGCAAAAGATATGGTAATTCCTTTTTACCTTTTAGACCTTCTGGAAGATTCAGGGCAGATCAAGCGGGTATCTCCATGTGGATTTGTGACAGGCACAAACTTTTCTTATATAATCAGAACCAGATTTGGAAATGCTTTAATAAAACATCAGGTCCCGGAGATGGCAGGATCAGAGGTAACAAACAAAATGACCAATGAAAGGCATTTGCTCTTGAAATTGAATTAGGGAAAGGGAGCCCTGGATTTTATTACTCTCAGCTTTGGGACAAACTTGGCTTTGGACACAGCACTTACTGCCTTCGTTTATTTTTAAGACTTGTTTTTATGAGAGAATGGTATGTGAGGCTATCTTTGGAAGATGCTGGCAGAAGAAAATCAAATTGGGTCTTTCTCGTGAACATGTTTATCCTGGTGAAATCATGTTTAAATGAAGAGCAAGGACTTGAGGAAGGAAAAACATCTCAAAGAACAAATTGAAGAGTGTGTGTTTAAGGGGAAGGACAATCTTTTTTGGTGACAATGGCAGAATCATTGACTGATAAGAAATTTAAGTCCTCGGATCTTTTGGGGCACTTGTATTCTTCAGCTACTCTGTCTTGTCAAAGTTCAGAAGTGCCCTACATCAGGGCTTAGGGAAATCCATTCATCAGTCCCTAACATTTAAGGATTGAATAACTGATGAATGGTTACTTATTGATTCCTGAATCTGATT